TGAGTATTGTCATGAACTCTTCTTTTAAGGTCTGGTAGAATTCTGCACTAAAACCATCTAGCCCTGGGCTTTTTTTTTTTTTTTTTTTTTTTTTTTTTTTTTTGGTAGACTTTTTGCTTGTTTGTTTGCTTTAATTGGGAAATTAGGACTATTGGTGTTGAAAGATCTCAGTGGGCACTGTTTGTTGATTCCTGTTATTTTGCTTTTGGTGTGTGTGTGTGTATGTATGTATGTATGTATGTATGTATGTATGTATGTGTTTCCCCTCTTTTGATTTGATGGTCTGAACATGGTTAAACTCTTAAGGATTTATAGATAGATGTTTCTTAATTTTGGTTTTATCATGGAATGTCTTATTTTCTCCATCTATTGTGATTAAAAGTATTGAGTATAGTAGTCATTTCTGGCATCTATATTCCCTCAGAGTCTATAGAACATCTGACCAGTCCCTTCCCTTCTGGCTTTTAGAGCCTCCACTGAGAAGTCAGGTGTTATTCTAATAGGTTCCCTTTTATATGTTACTTGGTCTTTTTCCCATGCAGCTTTTAATATTCTTTCTTTTTTTTTTCTTTTCTTTCTTTTTTATACATTTAATGTTTTGCTTATTGTGTGGTGAAGGGAATTTCCTTTCTGGTCCAGTCTATTTGATGTTCTGCATGCTTTTTGTACCTTGATAGGCATCTCTTTCTTTAGGTTAGGGAAGTTATCTTCTATTAGCTGTTGAGAATATCTTCTGTGCCTTTGAGCCTTTGACCCAGGTTTATTATTCTTGAGATTCTGTCTTCCAGTTCTTGTTTTCTCTGTTAGTGAGTCTTGTCTGTGGAGTCCTTGTTTGCCTTCCTAAATTTTTCATTTCCAGATTTTTCTCAGTTTGGGTTTTGTTTATTGATTCTATTTCTACTTTCAGGTCTTAAACTGTTTTATTTATTTCATTCCAGTTCTTGTTTGTGTTTTCATAGATTTCTTTAATAGATTTTTTTTCATTTGCTCTTTAGGGACCCCCATCATATCCACAAAGGCTTTAGTCTTTGCTTCAGCTGTTGCGGTTCTCAGGGCCTGCTGTGGTAGGATGGCTGGCTCTACTGGAGACTTTATCCTGGCTGGTGTTGATGTGTTTTTACACTGTTGTGCAGGAATCTGGGTTTGATTGTAAGACTAGGTGCTGATATCTGGTCTTGTCTTTGTGGATGTTCTTTTCCTTAGTTTCTGTTGTCCTCCCTGGGCGTTAGGAGGCTGTGATGGCCATGTGTTGCCTGGTAAGGAATTCTTCTGAGATCTTGATAGGTTTGGCCACTGGAGGTTCAGGGCAAACTGTGTTTCTCAGTATTGGGACTTGACACTTAGGAATGGGAATGGACTAAGAAGGGGAGGCTGAAGGGGCCACTGGAGGGAGTCTGCCACATAGCTGGGGATGAGACTGGGGAGTTGGATTTGGAGAAGTTGAGGGAGAGTGAAGAGCTGAAGCTAGCCTACCTGCTGGGCTGGCCTACATGCTTCTCTGGCAGGGTTGGCTGGTGGGTGGGTTCCAGGGAATGCCTGCTGGAGTTGGGGGCTAGCATAACAACATGAGTGGCGGGGAAAAAAGTTGGAGGAGGGCAGTATGATCTCCTGGAGATGGAGGGCAGGAAGGGAGGGGAGGCTGTAGCAGGTGGTCTCCTACAGAGTTTGGGATGAGGCTGGGGCATCACATTCAGAGGAAGAGAGAAGTGAAGATCTAGTTAGTTACCTATTTCCCTGGTTGGTGTCTCACTTCTAAATTGTAATGCGTACAACTGTAACTAAAAGAAGCTCTGAGAATCTAGAATTGCCCCTGACTGCCCCACGCCCAAATACCACACACTTTAGTCTCTGCTATTAGGAAAGGGTACATATTTTATCCTTTGAAATAGTAAGGAAAGCAAATAGCCAGTTGACATTTTATGTGGTAGCTGAAGAAGTGTTTTAAAGGTCGCCTGACTTTCTCAAACCTCGTTAGTGAGACTGATCCAAGTTCCGAACCCCATATCTGACGACAAGGCTCTCATGGGAAATGTTTGCATGTCTTCTGGGTCAGTTCAAGGAGTTTGTTTGTGCTGTGATATGGTAGTGAGTGAAGGAGGAAAGGAATCGGCTTGCCTCTCAGTCTGAGAGACCGCGTATCCACGCACAAGGGAGAGGCCTGGGCTGTGTGGGCCACCTCTCCTGCAGCTGTGGAATATGTTGAAGGAAAGGAAGAAAACGTCCTGCTGTAAGAAAAATGATGCCGAAGAACAGAACATCTGTTCCTGTGTTGAGTGGACCAGCTTAAGGATAGCAGCTGTTGTCTGTTTCCTCCCTCTGGACTCGCTCCATCTCTGATGCTGGAGGCCACTGTAAACAGTGAGAGCTTTTTCTAAACATTTTCAATTGTCTGCCCTGTTTCAGCCCACACGTAAGTCCATGGGACTGGCTTTATAGAGTGCATATTTTCTTGGGAATTTTTGTCTTAGGGGAAGAGTCTTACAGAATGGAACAGTGTGGTGTATTGGGGGGTGAAACACTACAGCCACCATGAGTAGGAGAAATAGCTTTAAAAGTATTATAGGGGCTAGACAGCTCTCAGTAGCTGTGATGGATTTTAGTGTTTTGATGGGCTTAGTTCAGGATAGTTGAAGGGAAGATGGAATTGTGCCGTCTGAATGCTAAGAAACCTAAGGAGTTAGGCAGCTGTTTCCACTCTTAATATTTCTTTCCTCAATAAACAAAAGGTTTTTTGTTGTTGTTTGTTTGTTTGATTTAAAATCAGGTTACTCTCAGCCTGATGAGGCTACCGCACTTCACAGTGCTCAGTTGCATGCCCATAGAGTAGATGGTCTATGGGTGGAGGAGTAGGAATCGTACAAGTTCTAGTAGCCACAGGCTCTAGCAAGAACTCAGGAGAGAGCAGTGAGGTGGCCAGGGCCCCTTGGCCTTAGCCAGTTACTCTTCCATTGATGCTTTGAAAAAGTCCAAAAATGACATTGCCGTTTGATTTTCCTAATGTGTAAACAGCATGACAAATGAGGTGTTTTTGACAGCAAGATTAGGACGCACTTGCAGCTTTGCCAACACAGGCAGATGGGCCTCATCCTCCAAGGAAGCTCTGAGACATTAAGAAACTTGGTGCATGCCTATCCTACCAATGTTGGGAAAGTTAAGGTAGGAAGAATATGGGTCCCAGGCTAGCCCGATCTCCATAGGAGGCCCTTCTTTAAATAAAATGAAAGTTGTTATCTTAAATTAAACAGAGGATAAGAACTTAATTCCCTCCCAGTTATTCTTAAGTATTGATGCTAATAAACCGGAAAGGGTAGCAAACATGAAAGTAAGTTATAGTCATCAATGCCATTTAGCTGGTGTTCCCAGAGAGGGGCTAGCACCAGGGGGCACTTAATCCTACTTAGGTTATAGCTGTGTCCTAGAGGGATTTATAGCGGGCTCTCACAGAAGTAGACAGTACAAAGGAGGAGAGATGGACGAGAAGAGCAAGGCATCTCTGAAGACACTCCAGGTGCTTGCTACAGTTAAGTGACCATAAAAATCAAAGCCAAGGATCTCAGTTCAAAAACCAGAGTCATCCCTTCCAAAAGACAAACAAAATCAGCTTCCCTTGGCCACCTGTGATGAACTAAATTCACATTCCCAGCAAGTGCCTTTGTTAGCATGGTCAACGATTGACCAGCTCAAGCCTGGATGAGAACCCACGTTAGTCTACACTGTAGACTCTACAGAGTAGCAGTGAGGTCAGGTCTGAGCGAGGCAACGTGCTGCCTTGGAAACCGGCTCCATTCCTTCCCTGACCTCTTTGTGCTTAACTTTGTGCAGCTAAAGAAATGGGTGCAAAGCATCTGTAATGGTTTTGTATGAATAAAATATAAATTGCTTGGGCCATTATCTTTACCTTGCTTACTGCTTTAGTTCCAGATAGTTGCATCTGTCAAATGAGTAAGAAGCATAAAAGAGCCAGATTATTGGGGTCCTCTGTACTGCTTTCTGTTTGAAGTGCTGCCTCATGGTGGCAAGCCTCTCTGGAATCATATGAGTTAACGCCATGTGACTAGGTTTAAAAAGTCTAGGGGGATCCTGTGATAAAGATTTCTACTCTGTTGCAGTTTGCCATTGCTTGACAACATACCTGAGATAACCCACTGGGGGGAAGAAAAAGGCTTGTGGTTTCAGAGTTTGTAGTATGTGATCAAATTTCCTCTACTGCTCTGGGGTCTGGGATTGACACAGTGCATTATGGGAGAAGCCTGGTAGAGAAAGCTATTCATTCTATGGCACCCAGTAAGTTCTTTCAGTAAGAGGTAAAGAAGTCTCCCATTCTAGGGCACACTCCCAGTAATGTAGTTTTCACCCTCTGGACTCCTCCTCCGAAATATCCTACTACCTCCCATGTGCTGGCTAATCTCAAATAAGCTCGACACAGGCCATTTTGGAAGCAGGAACCTCAATTGAGAAAATGCCCCCACTAGACTGGCATGTGAGCAAGCCATTGGTGCATTTTCTCAATTGATGTTTGATGTGGCTGGGCACGGCTCACTGTGGGCAGTGCCTCCCCTGGACTGGTGGTCCTGGCTGCTCTAAGGAAGTGGGCAAATCAAGCCATAAAGATCTAACAAGTAAGCAGCACCCTCCACCCCCCACGGCCTCTGCACCAGTTCGTGCCTCTAGGATCCTACTTTTGTGTTCCTTCCCTGACTTCCCTGGATGATGGACTACAAGTTGTATGAAGAATAAACATCTTCCACCACAAGTTGCTTTTGGTCATGGTGTTTTACCACAGCGATAGAAACCCTAACTAAGACATCCCAACAGCACTAGGCTGGAGAACAAGCCTTCAACATAAGGGCATTTGCGGGATCATTCCAGACCCAAACTACAGCAATACTGAAAGGAAAAATAAAATAAACATGTTCTGTTTACTACCAAGAAGTAAGAAAGCCATATGACTGACTGCTGTCTTAGTTCACAGCTTTATTTCATTTTCTTCTCTTCATTAGGCTGCTGTGGTGCCATCTGCCCAGACCCTTAAAATTACTGACTTCAGCTTCAGTGACTTTGAGCTGTCTGATGTGGAAACAGCACTGTGTACAATTCGGATGTTCACTGACCTCAACCTTGTGCAGAACTTCCAGATGAAACACGAGGTAGGAAGGCAGTGATGGCCTTTGGGCGCGTGCGTGTGTGTGTGTGTGTGTGTGTGTGTGTGTGTGTGTGTGTGTGTGTGTGTGCTCACGTGCATGTGTGTAAGATAGAACATTGGATCTGACTAATGGCATGTAATAGGGGTTTTCAGTTTTAATGATTAACATACCCTTGCCTAAGAAAAACCAGAAGTCATTAAAAATGCATTCCTTAAGCTCGGTGGTAGTGGTGCACACCTTTAATTCTAGTATTTTTCGAGACAGAGGCAGGCAGATCTCTATGAGTTTGAGGCCAGCCTTGCTTACAGAGCAGGTTCCAGGACAGCCAGAGCCACATAGAAAAACCCAGTCTCAAAATTTCCCAATCCCATCCCCAAAGCGCATGTATTGGACTCCCAGCATATGTCAAGCACCAGGTTGAAGAATACAGGAGGATTTTTCTTAAAGTGATAAGAGAAGTGTAAAAGCAGGTGACAGGAGGTACTGGGTAGAACACAGGGGAGGGGAAAGTGGCCAGAGGAGCAGCTGGAAGGGTGAGCAGAACAGCCAGCCTGGTGAGCAGCCGGCAAAGGGAACTGGCTCTCCGGACAACAGTGGCCGCTCACGAGGAGTTGGAAGACTGGAAGTACCTTGACATCTTTGCCAAGGTTGGGATAACAATTTAGGATGGACCAGCAGCAGGGCCATGGATGCTTGTGAGACCAGACTACTCAAATGAGGTCATCTCTGTAGAGTGGAAATGAGACCCTTTGAGCCCCAGTCTCCAAATACAGATTTCCTATGTAAAACTTCCTGTCTTCAAGGCTTTTATAAGTGTGCTTAGCCCTCCATTAATTCATACAATGAAAAGTTACTCACATGCTCTTTGTGATTCCAATGATGCATTGACCCTGCTCTCAAAGGCCTCAGTACTGAAAGAAAACTGGGGGTGAATGTAATTAAGGTTATTAATAGAGTGCCATTTATGGTCCTATCATTTATGATCCTGGAGACCCCAATCTGATTCTTTCTCAAATTTAACCAAAGTTCATTATTTTTTCTTCAATGAAAACCAAACAATACAAATAGGCTAATAATGGGTCTCTCTTGTCTGAGTGTTAGTTAAGGAATGCAGTATTATTTGACTATTCCGACAAGCTCTTAAGAATCCGTCTCATTCAGAGATGAGGAAACCAAGCCATCATGGAGTAGAAATGTCATGGACTTCACTCGTAGATTTGTCCGTGATCACAGTCACTTAAGCAGGTTATTTCCCACCTCAAGTTTCCTCACCTCTTGGAGTAAATGATGTGACTGCTCTGTGGGAATCTGTATGAATTACATGTTCATCTGTATATTACATGCCTGTATATGTGTGTGCTTATAATATTCTGTGTAGTCCACAGATATAGAGAGCATGCCAATTATTCCCTCTTTAGACCAGATTTGACTGCTAAATCACCATCAGATTTTTCCACTGTAGCAGCGAGGACTCACTTTAAAAGTCAGCCCCGTGAATGCGCTAAGTTCACATCTAGAGTTAGAAGTCCTAAGTATGGGTCATGGTTTTCCTTCTTAATACCGTGATCAGATCCATGTGTTCCTGGAGTGTCCACATCTGTAACTAACAATGAGTCTCTTCCAAGGGCTTGGCTAGAATGCAAGAATGTGATTCTTTCTGTAAAACCCCTGTTGCTGGTTTACTTTTTGTTTGGCTTATAGGTAGCATTTGAAGATTGGGAAATACAGATAGATTTTCACTCAGTTTCCCTAGTACTGTCTCCTCGGATTCCTACTCATAGGAAGAACTTTCTTCTCTAGATCACCTACTTTTCTTTTTACATAACTGCTATCTTAATGTCAGAAAACAAACAATAGGTAATTTCAGTGCCAGACAAAGAAACACATGAACATAGTAAAAGTAGCTTGTCAAAGCTGTTTCTTTTTGCAACAAATGGGACACCGTGACCCAGACTGGGCTAGCCAGCACACCGGGGCAGGAAATTCATGTCATTTTTATTCTAATACAGATGGTGATTGCATTTTTCCCATTGGCTGGGTTCTGGCCTCACAGTCATTGAGATTGGCCAGTTTTGAAAGACTCAGTGCAAAGAAAATAATGGAAGGTGATGTGTAGACAGTAGAGTTCCTGGAGTACAAGGAACCCTTTGCATAAGCAAAAGTTTAGCCAGGTGGGAGAGATTAAAATATTTGCATAAAACTTCTACAAGGTGAGGAGATTAAAGATTTTAATTCTTTTACATAAAACTTTTATAAGGTAGGAAAATTTTATGGAATATTGGCACTCTGTGAACTAACTTTAATTAAGAAAAAAAACAAAAAGGCAGAAAACGAACATTTTTTACATTTATTCCAAGCACCATCAATCTGGCTGTTAGGATTATCGTGGCTTGATTTTCTGCCCAAGTTATCTAGTCTTCTTTTTTTATCTCAGGGATTATTGTCAGTATAATTTTAGGTGGAGAGGGTTCACAATGAATAATAAACCTTCAGTCGGCATTAATTTATGCTGGTGGCAGCCATTGCATTTTACTGGTCTCTGAAACAGTCCGCTTTATTAGGACAACATGTGTTGATTGTGTTTCCACGTCTTTCCATTCCGTCCATACTCCCCTGAACTGTATATGCTTCACTTTATGCCAGGGTCACTGGGGAACGTAGGTCCTTGTTGTAGATTCTTAGTGTAGGAAAAGAATCTTAAAACAGACTCTGAAAACTTGGGATCGTTTTATCAGAGTTTGAGAGAAATAGCAGGGAAGGTAAGTTGTAGGTCTCAGCAGCTGCCAGGAGCTAAGGAAGAGGGAAGGCAACTTTATGAGTAGGTTAAGAAGCCTACTTGGCAATGGAAGTCTGTGAGCAGTGCTCAGGAATGGAGGGGTTTCAGAGGGGGGAATATGCCTAGTGTGTCAGTGCAAGCAGGTTTAGGGTTGGGATCAATTTGGTCTGGAAGGAGATAGGAAGAAAGGAAACGTTGCAGGCCTAGCAGTGAGTGGATGTTCTGCAGCTGTGGCAATGGCTTCTGTGGTGTGTGAGTGCAAATCTCTCTTCTTAACAGGCTCTTAGGGACCTCATCTTTCTTCCCATCTCCTGGCTGTCCTCTTGGAGTCCTAAGACTGTCCTTTCCCTATCACAGACAGTCTTTGGACTTCCGCAAAGTTGTTTCAACCACTGGCCAAGCCTCTATATTGATAATTAACCTGAAGCCTCTTTCAGATTCTAATGCTCTTCCCTCCCAGGGAGACTTGGGAGGTGGAGCCCAATGTCTGTTGGATAGAGCGGTTCATCCTCAAAGGGCCCCAAGCTGATATGTTTCACTGGATTCCCAGCAAGAGTTACTTTAGCCATGGTTCAATTACAGAGTATGTATACACATTTAATGATAGCTTTAGGTTTTGAACCAGTGAAGGATTTATTCTGACACTGAATTTCCAGTTTTTCTTACTATTTTTCTTGCTGCTTTAATTAATCACAGGAGGTTTTCTACACGATGCCAATGCATACTCTCAAAACGTCCCAAAGGAAAACTGTGGCTTTCATTTGAAATACCCCTACAGTAGCTGATCTGCCATCTTTCCACCAGAGTGTTCAAAAATATTCAGAATTAGGAAATCTGTTCTTAGTGAGCGCACATCCCCTGTGGGCACACAAACCTGCTTATACAAGGGCAACTCGCAGGGCCCCATGCTCAGAGATTCCCAAGGTTCTTTGTTGGAGAATTCCTTAGGAACAGAACTAGAGGGAAAGTCCTAAAAAGAAGAATGGTTATTCCAAGCCCTCCGACTGAGCAGTTTCTACCAACAGTGAAGAGACTCGGCTCAGCCCCCAGAGCCAATCACAAGGCTGGACACTTGTTTCCAGTCCCGAGGCCATGCTCTTTGTGTTTGCAACATTCCCAGTGACACACTTGAGGACAGCACTTAGAAAACGATATTTTTTTTTTTTTTTTTTTTTTTTTTTTTTTTAAACATAGAGTAACCCATTGAGATTTTAAGAGAGGCAGACTGGTAACACAGACAGACTCACCATGCTTAGACCCTGGGTCCCTGAGGATCTTATTTAATTCTCTCTCCACTTAGAAATTAAATTCAACCCAACTTGGGAGACTTGCTTGAACAATTCACCTTCCCATCTTTTAAAATAATCATTTCCATACGGGTCCCAAGAGTTTCCCATTGTATACATTATCTCCAAATGTTGATGTCTTGGTAGGCAGGCATTAAATGTGCCTAACACTTAGGCAGAACTGAAGGAATAAAGATCTAATGGAGAGGGCATGAAGACCTGCGGTTCTAGTTTGTCCTGAGACTTGAGCTAGATTCCAGGACCCCAGCCCACCTTAGATCCTGGCCCACAAGTGTACAACAGGAGAGCATGGAAGTCCATTCCCCAACAGTCACGCATATGACTCTGGAGGATGACATGGGGGGGGGTGTTTTTATAAATGTAGTTGGTGTCCTACCCATGACAAAATACCTTTCTTGGAGGTATTATCCATTTTTCATCTGATTTAACTAAGTTAGCCAGGTAGGGTCTGGATTGAACTGGTAATACTTGAATTCTGGCTCCACCCCTTATGAACAACCAGTACTGACAGGGTTGCCTGTTTGGGTGTAGTTTTTGTCTTTCTTTTTCTCTTTCTTGTAAAAATACTCACTCATTTTTTTCTTCTGACATTGTTTTTGTTGCTTGTTTGGGAGTTTCACATAATGCTCCTGATCACATTCGCTTGCCTGACTTCCCAGGTCCCTACCACCCCACTCCCACCCCCACCCCCCTCCACCCCTTGTGACCTTCTCCAAAGAAAAGAAGGGGGGGCAGTCCAATTTGTAGTGCCCATATACTCACTTGAGCATGGTGAACTTAGAAAACGATGACTAACTTGGCCGTTCTTGTCATTCATAGTCCTTCATTTCCCTAAAGGTTCTCTGCAGATGGATTTTAAGTGTTAAGAAGAATTACCGGAAGAACGTTGCCTATCACAATTGGAGGCACGCCTTTAACACGGCACAGTGCATGTTCGCTGCTCTAAAAGCAGGCAAGATTCAGGTACTCAGTTTACAGCATGTCTCGTCAAATCCTTTAGAGTGTATGGCTCTGGTCATTGATGAATTCACCACATAGTGACTTGTGGTAGGTTGAAGGTTAGCACCGTAGGGTAGTTTGTATATCTCTGTCCTTAGATTGCATCTTCGGTGGGAACTGACTAGTTATTCTGAGTGATTACAGACATCTATGGCAGAATTTAAATTTAGAGTCTCCCAACTTGAAAAAGTAAATTTAAAAAAAAAATATTATTCTCTGTCAAATATCTGACTTTCAGGGGTTACACATTTTAAGTGATCCTGGACTTCATCTCTGCATATAGAAAATAAATAAAAGAAGACCCATTGTCCATGAAGCCATACAAAATAACACAGTGCTATTTCACTCCCATAGAAACATTTGTAAGACCAGAATAAACTTATTTTGGGTCGTGCAAGAGTCCTAAGATTATCACCACCGAAAGCTACCCTTGCTTTCATGATGAAGAAGGAGATGATGTTTTTCACACCTGCTGGGAGTTGCAGTGGGATGCAGTGGCATGGCAGTTTAGCTTGCATTACCTTATGACGATGGGAATAGTACTGTAAATAATATAAATGGCAAGTACCCAAAAATAACTCATATGTAGCTTGGAAACGTATACAACTTTTGAAAGCCAATTTCCCCCCAGGTATCCCATTTCTACTATTTTGTTTAATAATCATATTGTGTGGGTTCCTCAAGGATATAGCAGCTGATCACAGAGAGCAAAAGAGGTAGTTAAAGTTTGCTACAATCATTCCACATGTATAAAAATAAGATTCATGATTACCTGTTGTGGGAAGATTATTCTTTTTTTTTTTTTTCACTTGAAAAAACATTATGTAATGTGTGTGTATTTGTATGCACATAGGGCATGGTACATGTGTGGAGGTCAGAGGACAACTTTTGGGAGCCACAGTTCTCTCGTGCTGCTGTCCATTACCAGAACGGAACTCATGTGGCTGGCCTTGCATAGCAAACACTGTCAGCCTCTGAGCCGGCTTGCTGCTCCTAGATTATTCATTTCTGAAGCATTTCAATTTTTATGTTGTCCAGTGACATTTTCAGTAGCTCACTGTGGATGGCAGTATAAATGGTCGCCTACAGACCTGCAGTCTCGGTGACCACACAGACGGGCAGGAATGGATGCTGAAAAGTCACAGGAGAATGCCCTGCCCATGTTTTCTCTTCCTTTTCTTTACTTCAATACCTTTTCACACAGAACAAGTTGACGGACCTGGAGACACTTGCGTTGCTGATCGCCGCTTTAAGTCATGATTTGGATCATCGTGGTGTGAACAACTCATACATACAGCGGTAAGATGGTTTCCCCAATGAAACAAGATGTGTCCTTTAAATCACTGAACTGTATTTTAAGTTAGAGCTACAGAAAAAAAAAAAAAGATACAAAATACTAGTTGGTTAAGTTTCACTACATAGTCTAGCTATGTTTAAGGGAATAGGAAGTGAATGCAAGTGCAATAATACTATATTGATCACATTTCAGGCCTGAAGTTCAAACAGTGTTTATGTTGAGAATCTTATTACCTTACTACTGTGAGATTTGCTTTAGTTTTCTTACACCCAGCTTAAGAGCTTCTTTAGAAGACTATGAAGAAAAGTCCAGAAGGGGTAGAATTTTTACCCTGGAGTAGAAAAGAGAGGATTTGGAAAAGTGCTTAGGTTGGCCCTACTTACTTATGGTGTTCAAGAGACTAAGCTTTTCAGTTTTAGTCGAGGGTACATCACACAGTGTTGGAGAACCTGAGCTCTGTTGTCAGACTGTAGCTCTGCCAGAGTTCCTGTGTAGCCTTGAATGAGGAAGCTGATTCCTCTATACCCAATTTCCTTTAAAACGGAGATAATGGCATTCCCATATCACAAGGTTGGTGTATGTTTCCAGAGACCACACACATCACCACCAAGTGGAAGGTTTGTCGTATATTGTGTTAAATCCTAGCCATAGTTACTTGAGTTCTGTCAAGTGTGACACACTTGCAGGCTGATCTTAAGGGTGAGATTCTAACCACTGGGACAAGAATTTTTGGTACCTTCGAGGACCGACACTTAAGTGGCATTTTAAACTAATAATACTTTTTCATCAAATTATCGAGCTCCTGTTGCTGGCCCATCTTCACATAGCAATTGGTTGAAACGTCTATGCTGTAATGGCAGAATCTCTCACTACTGAGCCTGTCTGTAAGTGAGCCAGTCTCGTGGGGATTCCAGGTGTCTCCAGGGTGTATGAGAAAGCTCTCTAGTCGCCGTTCCTTTATGTGCTAGACAGAAGACTTCCTGGAAGAATTCTAAAAGTATATAGCCATGTCTGCACTGCCCTTCACAAAACAAGAGAGAACATTCTTGCCCTGTCACAGACTGGCTCTTTCCACCTGAAAACCTAGAGATTTGGAGAAGTAACTTGATGACATGTCCTTGTCCCTGTTCTTTGTTTTGTGATCCCCAGTGTCACAAAAATATTATTAACGAAAGGGAACAGCAACAGAAAAGGCTCCACAGCGTGATCAGTCCATATAGCATGGCTCTGCTCTCTGCCTAGCTCAGAAAGAAGCATCCTGTTGTTAGTATATACACTGTTAATTATTGTTGAAATTGCTATCATGTTGCTCTATGTAAATGAGGAAGAAAAATTGCAACTTTTTCTTTTATTTAAAAATACTATTAAACAAAAACAAAACAAATAAATAAACAAACAAAATTTTTATGACCCAGAAGAGCTTCTAGAGAGATGGCATCTTCTCTTTAGGTAAAAGAAAAAATCCTGGGGATAGGGTTGTTGGTGGTGGTGATGGTAGGGAACAAAACACAACAAATGGATTGTAGAATCTACTTTCTCACACACAAAGTAGATGTAAACCAAGCCATAACTCTTGAAAAAGCTAAAGCAGTTCAGAGACTTTTACTTCTTCCCACATTCCTGTGCTGTGAGTAAAGGAAAACAGGCCTTTTTCTTTTCTGACTGGTAATGGCTGGTACTTAAAGCAGGATTTTTTTCACAAGTGAGCACTTGAGGTAGTAAAGTGGTGTAAGTTCTCTGTATAAAATTCTGTCTTCTAGAGGGGCAAACAGTACTCAGGACCTGTGCCATGTCCAGACTGACACATAATAAAAAGCAGGAAAACAAATAAAAAGAAGGTAGAGAAATAAGAGCAATTAGTCAGCAAGAAGGAGGTGTCTGTGGGTAATGGAAGGAGGTGTTCATGGGTAATGGAAGGTGTTCATGGGCAATGGAAGAAGGTGTTCATGGGTAATGGGAGAGGTTCATGGGTAATGAAAGGAGGTGTCCATGCGTAGTGGAAGGTGTTCATGGGTAATGGAAGAAGGTGTTTGTGGGTAATGGAAGGAGGTGTCCATGAGTAATGGAAGGAGGTGTTCATGGGTAACAGAAGGGTGTGTTCAGGGTAATAGAGTCAGAAACTGAAATCCTCCTTTCTCTTAAGTGACTTTGAGAAAACTACATTGAGATAAGGCTTTCCTTGAGTAGCAGGCTATCCCTTGGCTCACTGTTGGCCCTCCCTCCTTTCTTCCCTCCTTCTCTTCCCACCATCAAGAAGACTGCCATCACCGGGGTCCCACTGGTTTCCTGTGATATACTTAAGTACCCTGCTCACACTTTCTCTTCTCGTATAGCAGAGAGAGAATGCTCTCAGATGAACTGCAAACACGGGCACTGGTACAGACTGCCTGTAGCTCAGTTGGTGGAGTGCTTGCCCAAGTATGCATCAAGCCCTGGGGTTGCCCCTCAGCACCATGTAAACCAGACTTGGTGATGCCCTCAGGTGGCAGAGTCAGGGGGATCAGAAGCACAAGATTAACCTCAGCTACATAGCAAGTTCGAGGCTAGCCTAAGCTACACGAGTCTCTACCTCAAAACAATAAAACAAAATGAGAGGTTGTTAGGACACAGTAGCTGAAGTACAAACATTCACTTAAAATTAGTTATAAAACTTGCATTATAGAGAAAGCTTCTGCATAGGACTTGCATGTGTGCTTATCTGCTTAGTTTCAAGTCGAGTAGTTATAAAATGATTCGGCCAAGTTATGCTATATGTTAGGCTTGTGCATAATGAACAATTGCTAGAATTTTGGTTCTTTGCTAGGCAGAAAGAAAGCTAATTACATATACAGTGTGGTTCTTGCCTATAGTTCCTAACCCTTGAAATGACAGTCAGTGAAAGAAATTATTCTGTGAGTCCCGAGTCATCTAATGAAATGGACTTCAAGTGTCTACCAGAGGAGGAGATTGGCCAAGTATAGTGTAGTCCACATCCACTATTCATAGAGAAAATGAGACTTAAGCTAGATGCTGGAAAGTAGGTGGATTTTCAGATAAAGGACAAAGATATTCCGGGATGCTGTGAAGTGAGCATTCCATGGAACAGTAGTGGTAGACCAGCAACAAAATAGACATGCAGGGGCCTCAAGACCTCCTCAAGGGAGGGATGCAACAACACTAAGCAGTATATACTAAAATTGATAGAATTTGTAAAAGGAATTGTTGCCGTAGGCAATGAAAACATTGTTTAGGAAGAAAGTCGTGGCATGGTAAATGGATTGAAATTAGAACCACAGAGCTCAACTAGAAAAACTGCAACAAGAAGCCAGATGTAAACTGACGAGCACACTGAGTCAAGGGGGAAGAGGGACAGTGTGACAGTGTGAGCTTCATGTAGGGATGCTGGATGTGTGCATGAAGGAAGGAGAAAAAGCCCACGGCTTCTAGAACTAGAACAGTGGTGTTGTGAAGAGCGAGAAGGAGTGGGGATATGGGTACAAAGTGGCAGAGTTTCCAACCCAGGGAGGGTCCTTGTGGCTAACAGGCAGAATCAAGAACCTGTTTGTAGTGGTGAAGAAGAAGCCTGGGAGAGGGCACTGGTTTTCTTACAGGACATTTATTTTGAAACCATTTCTAATGCTTTCTGTTTCTAGTAGATTTCCTAATACTACCTTCCAAGATAGACCAATAACAGTAGGTCAGGTAAAAGCAGAGAAAGTATGCCAGTCCATTAAAGCAGGCTGACATCAGCGTGGGAATACAATTCCACAGCAGTAATGGTTTAAATAGGTCCTTCTGGTGGGCCTCGAATAGAGGCAGCATGAATACATTGGTTTCCATGCTTTTATTTTCTTTTTCTTCTTCTTCTTCTTTTTTTTTTTTTTTTTTTTTTTTTTTTTTTTTGTAAACAGGAAATCCTCATTTTGCACCCATTGCTTGATTCAAGAATTTGTATTTTTAGAATATAAGTAAAGACAAACACATTTTGGCATTTGTCTGTCTCACAAGCCAAAAGTCCCGTCTAATCTGAAGCAGTTCTTTCTGCCTCACCTAGAAATGTAAAGTAGATTGGAAGTTCTCACTGGTCAGTATTATATCCATGTAGTTGCATTGCACTGCATTTCCTGCACCAGCTCCCAACTAGGTCAGTGAGTAGCCACTGTGTAGGGCCCTGTGGCACCAAGACAGTGAGAGGCAACGAGAGCCCCCAGGTCTGTCATTTAGGGCATCATTGAGCAAGTGAGATTATCCATGTGAACATTTGGTTCTCTATAGAACAAATGCAGAAATGCCCGTTTTATCGCACTCGGCCTATGTTTCTTTGAAGCCCTTATTGGAGATAAAAGTTGGTGTATGCATAGCTTACTAGTGCATAGGACCCCAGGGAATACAAATATCCCAGGGAAGGAGGGATATTATCCGGGTATACTCACATGTGAGCAACTGGTACTCAGTCCTGCCAAGGTGATTTGGAGGAACCTTATGGGAGGAGACCCAGAGCCAGTCAGCTTTAAGGCAGAAGGCCCCTCACCCCACCAGTCAGCAGTGCCCCCCCCCAGGCCTCAACCGACTGAAGGGTGTGTTTACACCCTTCAACGTGTGTGCAATTCACTCCTGTGGGCACCAGCTGTGGGTCAGATGAGCGGTACCTAGGGTGGGCCAAGACAGAGCTTTCTGATTGGCACCTGTGTGGAGTCTGTTAAAGGATGAATGAAACACAGTAGCTGTGGCTGAAATAGGAGGTGGGTGTGAGGATTCTGAGTCAGTGCTTACTTATACAGCGAAATACAGTAATAATAAACATGTGGTACAGTGCCCACCACGTTACAGGCTTTTGACAAATTGTCTGATGGGTGAAAGATGTAAAGACGACAGCACCTGCTGAATGAATGTGATCTGAAGCTAACCATGTGTCCTCTAACTTCTAAGTTTTGTGCTTTACATTTACATGGGCTGGTTAGCTGATTGGCTGATGGGTTCCAGGACAGGTACCCATCTTCTATCCTCAGCCTCAGTTTCCCTAGTGTACCACCCTGCCTTCATGCTCTTAATTCTTTTATGAGTGAGAATAACTGACAGCTGAAAGCCTTGTCTTTCATTAAACCTGAAGTTAATGAGGGAAGTGATCGTTATGCTAATAAAGTTGACTTTAATATGAAAGAACAGAAAGAATGGGGGTCTGTGGAGGAGAAGGGGGGGTCTGTAGAGAAGAAGGCGGTCTGTGGAAAGAGTCAAAGGAGAGGTCATGGACCCTCTTCATCATAACCTGTGTCATCCCAGGCCATGTCCCTGCCAGCTGCCACGTGATCCACCTACAGAACAGCTCTCCCTCCACTTCCTTCCGGCTGCCACCACTTTAACTGAGGCACCCTTTCTTGAGCCACTCTGAGTGTCCCAGGGTGCCCTAACTGACCCTGGGTAGTCCATACATCACAGCAAAACTCCTTTCAACCAATCCTTTCAGGCATCTCGGTTTACTGTCCGTTTTCCCGGGGAGCTCAGCTCCCGTTCCACAGGGCAGGCCATCTTATAGAGGTGGCCTGAAGGAGAAAAGTAGCTAAGGATTGGGAAAGGTTATGCCAGTAGTGGCATCAAATCAGCAAGATAGGAGACAGTTTCAACAATAGGAATAGGCAAGGTTTACACATTCTCCTGCCTTTATCTGCAGGTCGTGTTTCCCACAGCATCTATTTCTGATTCTCACTGTAACCTTTTTTTTTTTTTTTTTTTTTTTCCATTGCATATTATTAGCTCTGGGTAGATTTTTTTTTTTTTTTAATAACGGACAAATACAATGGAAAGTGATATACTAGCGCACAGCAAACCATTTGGTTTTCTAGCACTGTTGTGGGGGGTTGCCATGCCTATAAGTATGAAGCGCAAGGAATTACAGAATGCTTTCTCTTTAAGAAGGACTAGTGACAAGTGTGGTTTTTCACATGTGAAGGGTCATGAGAAATGAGTTGGGAGACTCTTCCTGTCGTGCTGTAGAAGCTGTTCTGTGACTACTGTCCCACACGTACAGTAAACAGTGCAGTACCCTCCCCCCTCAACTTGCCCAGCAGGAAGTCTTCCTACCAGCTGCCCTGCACTCAAACAACCCTAGTGACTCAGCCTCCTCATCCTCCCAGCTTTCCTTGACTCCCCCCCCCCCCTCCTTCCCAAGGCTGTGTACTTACTGTCTCCCTTTGTCTTGCTTTCCATCACTCACACTCAGTTAATCCCGTCTCAATGGCTTCTTTCCTTATGTGTTGGCACACAGGGACAAACTAACCTTCAGCCCGAGCACTGGTCAGAGGAAATGGCAACATGGATTTGTTCTAGATTTTAAGCCAATTGCCTGCTGAAACTGAACACCAGTACGATAAACACTTAGGTATTGTGGAGTGGTACATGGCTGTGTGGGTTAGCCGTCTCCTGCCCTCATTCCTCACATCTGTTGTTTTCCACAGTCAAACCAGTGGAAACGGTTTGCCTCAGTATTTACTTCTGAGAGATTCTGAGGACAGCAGGGGAGAAAGTTATTAGTGTGCTTAGTTTTGAGATAATTTCAGTTAATAGTACTAAGGAACTGGTGAAGTAACATGGTCTGGAACTTCTTGTCTCTCTCTGCCTTCCCTCCACACGGCCACTCAGAAGCGAACACCCGCTGGCTCAGCTCTACTGCCACTCCATCATGGAGCACCATCACTTTGATCAGTGCTTGATGATTCTAAATAGCCCAGTAAGTACATCGTTTATTGTTGTGAATCTTAAAAGAGAGCTTTGGACATGCAGTTTTATTTTTAGGCCTTGGACTTGTTCCCAGCATCATAAATTCTCGAGCAATCTCTATTCCTTTTTGGGTAAGGAAGGAATAGCCCAAGCATTTGACATGTCCACAGCCTCACTCCTGAACGGTAAGAACCATGCAGTGTTACCCGCGAAGGGAATTTGATTACTGGTCTTTGATTGCTACAAACTAGAAACAAACCTGACGCTTTATGGCTCCTGCTTGACCTTTGAAACAGGGGAAGTGGTGCATAGGGATCACTATCTGTTTCTTCTTTTCCTTTTGACTGTGCTATGGTCAAACCTAGGACCCTGTACCTGCAAAATGGGAACTGTTCCCCTCAATCTGTATTCCCAGCCTCTGTCTTATGGGAGTTTCTGCCTGCTCACAAGCTGTCCTTTCTAGGAATGAGAAAGCTCCTGGATCACATGGGTGCGTGAACGTGAACGTTAGTAAATGTAAGAAAACATGTGCTACAGTTTGCTGAGTGAGCACACATGTTAAGGAGTACAACATCAACAGAATGAACATTAGCTGAACTGAGTTTGTCTAATAAAACCGTTGGCAGGTTTTCTTTTTCTTATTGGATTATTCATTATTCACATTATTTGTTGTCTACTTGTGTTAACTTTATAAGGAAAAAAAGGAAGTTTTTACTATTACATTTAAATAGTCACAATACATGCTATATAACCCCACACAATTGTATCACAATGTCTTCATGTTTGCTGGGGTTGGGTCTAGTTGGTTTTTTTTTTTTTTCCCCTGAATGTCAGAGGAGAACTAGGGGGCTATATTCTGGTCACTATTATTAGGTCTAACCATATACTACACCATTCTCATGCCACAAACCAAAATGGCCACACTAGGATAATAGTTCACATTGTGAGGCCAATTTATTCCTTTACTGCCCTCACAAACTTCTCTGTTTCTTACTATATATTTCTTCTAATTCCTTACTTACTCCCAAGCTTCTGTGTGGTTTCCTGCTTCTTCAGCCAGAGATCTGGAAAGTAGAGTAGGCAATAAAAGGGGGCTGGCTTTTCCTAATAGACTGACGTTGTTGAGTGTCTCTGTTGTGATTTTAAAAAGTGGGTTATTGGGGGGAAAGTGAATGGGAAAAGGGGGGAGGGAGAGGGGAGACTAGCTTCTGAGGACCAGCTGCAGAAGAGGAGAGGAGAGGCTAGAGAGAAAAAGAGGGAGAGATGGGAGGTGGGGGGGGGCTTTAAAAAGGGAAAGTAGTGAATGTGCACAGGTGGTGCTCTTAGTGGCTGCAGCTGAGGGTGTGTCCTGTCAGAACCCCAAGGGCAGGCCAGTCCAGATACCTGACTACTAACAGCCACTGTTTGTACCTGGTAGGGATTGGTAATTTTATCATCCCTGCAAAGCACAACAGCTACAAAATGGTCAGCCAATCTGTTCTTGCGTTTTAGATTTCTTGGCCCATTCTAGTCCCACAGCCCCCACTGAACATAGGAGACAAACACAGGGTCTCTCTCCCACTTGAGGCAAATGTAATTCTCACCTCTTCTGTAATACCTTAGTGTAACTAAGAAGTTAGGGAGTGTGCAACTTGGGATGCATCTCAGAGGTAGAATGTGTTTTGCATGTGAACAGCACTAGGTTAGACACCCATCACTGACATACAAACATACATAAATACATACATACATACGCACGTCCATACATACAACCTGTTTTGGCTGCTTCCTCAGGAAGTTTATATGAGGATGAATGGGGTGTAACATGTAATGTGAATTAGTTGATTTTATATGATTGGTATCATTTTCTCATGTAGTGTCTGGGTTGACCTGTGCAAGAATTATGGGAGTTGTTAGATTCTGTCGTTTAGTAAGAACTTAGTGAGAAGCAGAGCCTTGTGCCCTCCACCCCAGGCTGTGGGAGGCTCTCCACACTGGTCTTGCTTCCCCATCAAATCCCATGCACCCTGCCTCGCGCCCACCCCACGGTCCAGCACTTCCTTCTGTTGCTCTTGTGTGCTCTCATCGAATTCAGAGGGAGCATCTAGGTCTGCTGGACCAACTCACCTCCAGAGAGAACCTCCCTGGCTTGGCTTTGTGCTCTGGTTTCAGAGTGGCATAGGTTTTGAGTGACCTGTCCCAACACTACTTTTCCCAAAAAGTATGTTATTTTTAGTGTATAATTTTCCAAAATTGAGACTGGAGAAACATAGGCATGTTAAAGAGAAACATCTGTACTTTATTTGGGAAATTGCTCTGTAGCTAAAGCTTTTCATTTATTTCTTGGTGGGGCAGGGAGTTGATTAACATAAAACAAGCAAAAAAAAAAAAAAAAAAAAAAAAAGAACAGAAGAAGAAGAAACATGGGTTCATATAGCTCAACCTGTCTCTTTCTCACTGAATAGCCCAAAGCTGGTCTTAGCCCCTAATCCTCTTGCCTCTACCTCCCAAGTTCAGAGATTACAAGAGTGCACTACCACTACCACACCCTGCTCAAAAATGTCCTGTTGGTGTCTTATTTCAAGTTCAGTTCCAAAGCAAAGAAATTACTAACCTTTTAAAAGGTGTGTTAAATATTCCCTATCATACTTATTTTGTTAGATATATAAATCATTGTTATATAGTGTGTTGTTGCTTAGAATGACATACAATAAATCTGGCTGTACATTTAGCTAGCTTCAGTCATAAGAGCTGTCTACATAACTTATCTTTATAAGCACAATTAAATAAAAAAAATACAGATTGTGTTCTTTGGAGAAAACTGAGGCTGCAGTATCAAAAGATATTTCAATTTCTCCTGGCAATTGTTTTATCTTAAAAATAAGTAAAAGCATCAGAAGTTTTCTGAATAGTTTCATTTGGCCCAAATCTAAAATGATGTAATATTTTAAAATAATGATTGTGGCCGTAATCACAGATTCTGTCATTAATTTAATTCATGAATCTCATTACTCTCTAATCACTGTCTTTTTCCCCCAGCTGAGCAGACCAGCCATTTCCTGACTTCATTCTTCGACTGCAGATCTCATTTCTAAGGCTCTGAGACTTAGAAAAGCCATATGATTCGGTTTACACATGTTCCGAGTATGTTTGGAGTGGCTGAACTCTGTGCTTTGTTTAGTTCAAGATCAAAAAGAGCCACTCTGCTTTAAATTACAGACAGAAAAATAGATGTTATAACAAAAACATTCAGTGTTGTTATACATGGATTACATCCCCCAGTCCCCATCCCCCCCCCCAGGGCTTTTTCATAAGACTATTTTACTAATATGGGAAATATGTCCTACAAAAATTCCTGCATAAATAGTTCATGGAAAAAATTAGAATGGTGTTTTGATTATTCGTTTGGGGGGGGGTAATATAATTACATCATTACCTCTTTCTTTTCCTTCCTTCGAGCCTTCCCATCTACCCCTCCTGGCTCTCTTTCAAATTCATGACCACATTTTTCATTAATTATTGGTGTGTGTGTGTGTGTGTGTGTGTGTGTGTGTGTGTGTGTGTGTGTGTTCCTAGATATTTAAGTACAATCTATGGCCACATTTTTCATTAATTATTGGTGTGTGTGTGTTCCTAGATATTTAAGTATAATCTGCTTAGTCTGTATGATGTTCCTTGTATGTAGGTTTTCTGGGCTGATCATTTGGTATTGAATGACCTATTGGTGTGTTCTTCCCAGGGAAGAGTTTTTTTGCATATGGATTTCTCTATTTTTATAAAGTTCCTTAACAGACTTTTGAGGGATTGCTTTCTTAGGTCACCAACTGGTAAGCACCTTAGGCTCAGACCAGCTCACTATCTAAATTGTCATGTTAAAGAACACATGAAATATAATCCTACTATTGGCTAAGATCTATAAATATGAACCAGCAATATTACCAAGTTTGTTACAGAAGTCACAGAGGAGTGTCTCTTTAATAATAAGTTATCTAAAAATTTCACAGCTCCATTCTTCATATTTGTTAATGTGATTTTCAGTTTCAATTTTTCCTGTTATATTATGGCAATTAATATGCCCAAAGGAAAAAGACATACTTACCTAGTTTTTAGATTTCAACTCAGTCTCAAGGAGATTATGAACTGGAAACACAGATGTACAGAGGCAGGGATAGTGTCATGTGGCTGTTTTTATCTTACACAACAAAGTGGTACATGGTGAGAATGAAAAGGAAAAAATACTACTTCATAGCATATACTTTTTTAAAAAACAAAAAAGCAGGCTCAGAACTAGGCTTGTGTTTAAGTCATGTGACTGTATCTTCAGCAGCTCCTTCAGGAAGAATACTAACAATGTTTTTCTTTTTATATAAAGGGCAACCAGATTCTCAGTGGCCTCTCCATTGAAGAATATAAGACCACTCTGAAAATAATCAAGCAAGCAATTTTAGCTACAGACCTAGCACTGTACATTAAGTAAGTTTTCAGGGGAGATGCCCTCCAAAATAGGTGTTAAAGTGTTTTCACATTCACGCTGGGGAACCCTTCTAAAAGGAAGCAAACTGGTCATTTTTAAAGGCTCTCAAACACATCTACTCCATTGGACATTTTTTGGACAGTTATTGCTCTACATCGTAGCTCAGGGTTATTCATGGTTCTCTTCTGTCGCCGTGTCTCTGAAATTGCCTTGAGGTGTCATGGCAGAACCATTCTAACCATTCCAGAGGCTTCTTGTTGTCCTCCTTTTCCTCGCTTGCCAATCTCTGGTGATTCTTTTTTTTTTTTTTTTTTTCTTTTTTTTTTTATTGCCAACCAAGCCTAGGTTGGCAGGCAAAGAACACCGAAAATAATCATTTTTTTTCTTCTCATTTGACTTTGGCAGAAGATTGTTAAATGTAGAACTGTGAAGTTGTTCTGGCATAAGACAGTGAGTGATATTTGAGTGCTATTTCTGATTGCCCTTGGCAAGATTATTGTGCTTCTCCTAAAACCTAGAAAATGCTTGTGGGCATTTGGATAGTCACAGTTTCCAAGCTATAGATTGAGGTCTCTAATGTCTGTGTGGCATCACCCACTCTGGGCTTCCTCTCACGGGCTCTCCCCCGTGACACAAGGATTCACAGCAATGGCATCAGTCTTTCCCATGAGGAGTTAAACAACTACATCAGGCACACATAAGTTACACTGCACATCCTCTGTGTGGTGTCCACAAACTTGAGTGTATCTGTTTTCATTGAAATTTGGGTCAGTTTAAGGTTTTTAAGGTTAATCAGAACAGAAGAAAATGCATCAGACTTCAGATTGTTCAAAAGTAATTTCAGAATACTGATCATCAAGTCACAAAGAACTTGAAAAATAGCTTGGTCTGCACAGGCTTCCCATGTTTTATGCCATGTGCATTTAAAATATATATATATATATATATCTTATATATATATATATATATATTAATACATGTTCCATTTTACCTTGTCAGTTTATCGTTTGTTTGGTCTCATTTCTCAAGTCATTTGTTGATGTTGGGCACAGAGGAGGTATTTGCTAGACACAGATGACTTTATGTTTATGTATGACAAGAAATGCTATCTAAAACTTGCTCTTTGCTTCCCAATCATTTGACATCTTCATTGCTTTAAAAAAAAAAAAAAAAATCTGCAGCAAAAATGAGGATGAGTTAGAGACCTTAGACCCCCTTACCCCATGCACATAGAAGATCTTAAATCATTCCTACCATCACATTTTAATTCACACTATTCTATTTTTTAATGAAAAATGTTCCTGAGTTAAAATTGTCATTATTTGTCATTGAAAGTAGACCGGGAAAGTGAAGGTGGGGTCCTGAGTGATGGGGTACTGAGTAGAGGGGTACTGAGTGATGGGGTACTTACTGAGTGATGGGGTACTGAGTGGAGGGGTGCTGAGTGGAGGGGTGCTGAGTGGAGGGGTACTGAGTGGAGGGGTACTGAGTGGTGGGGTACTGAGTAGAGGGGTGCTGAGTGGAGGGGGTGCTGAGTGGAGGGGTACTGAGTGGAGGGGTACTGAGTGGTGGAGTGCTGAGTGGAGGGGTACTGAGTAGAGGGGTGCTGAGTGGAGGGGGTGCTGAGTGGAGGGGGTGCTGAGTGGAGGGGTACTGAGTGGAGGGGGTACTGAGTGGAGGGGTACTGAGTGGTGTTGGGGGAACCGAGAGCTGATGAAGCTCAGTTTTTGGTTCTGAGATGAGGAAAATAGAGATCTTCCTCAAGTATATACTCCACGAGTCTTGTGGACCAAGGGAGAAGACCCTGAGGACTCACCATAATCACCACGTGTTTCTTATTTTTCAAGGAGACGAGGAGAGTTTTTTGAACTTATAAGAAAAAATCAATTCAGTTTTGAAGATCCTCTTCAAAAGGAATTATTTCTGTAAGTTGACTTTACTGTCCATGCAAGCATGGCCACCCAATTAATTTTCTCAGGTCAGTTGTTAATTGGGATTATTTGTTATGTGTAATGATTTTTGAGGCTGCTCACTGCTCCAGAGTGTAGTACAAAGGACGGTGGCAAGCTGAAGTGAATAGATTGTTGCTTTGTTGTAGACTGACTGACTGATGGCCATTTATGGCCATAAGGTTACCGTTTTGTTTCATTCTCTCTTCCTTTGGGATGGGAAAGCGAGAGTTAACATCCTATAGCTTCTGAGAACTGAATGGTTGGCTGCAAAGTGTCCACTTCTCCTGGGCCACAGTACAGCAGTGCTCTCCAGTGGACACTTCAAGATGACTGCTTCTCATCCTCAGTCCACCAATCCCTTCTTCTAGCTGTGGATAATCTCTCTGCTGCTACTTGCCACTGTCTTTGCCACCGCAATAACTTGTATCAGCAAAACAGAACCAGGAAGCCACCAGAGTCCCTGAAGGTGGGAGGATGAAGGAAAACAATTACCACAAGTTCAAGGCCACCCAGGACTATAAATGTTGAGGCCCTGTATCAAACAATAAACCAAAACAAGGGCACCAAAAGTCAATAATAACTAAAGGTACTACAGAATTACAGATAGTGTTAATACAATGTTGATGTCAACGTTTCTTTAAATAGATTGAGACTGCTTAGCTTGCAAAACAAATGCACACATTAAAAGGAAACAATATACAAACACCTAGCTGACCGTTCTGTATAGTCTCGCTCTTCTTAATGTCAACTTATCTTTCAGAACAGTGCCTTAAGAAATGGGCAGGGCTACCCCTGTGATTATTGTGTGCTCTGTAATGACAAAGAGAGGTTTGTACAAGCACTTAGGGTTAGTCAACTTTGGCAGGCACAGTTGTGCTGGCAAGTATGGTTGGACAGTGGGTTCCAACTGCGATTAAAAGTATCTCCAATGCACTCATTCCTGTGGGAGAGTCAGTGTAGGAGAGAACATGGCAACATTAGCCTCAGGTGGTTAGGGAGCCTTTGCCTTAAGTTGAGTATCTCTGGAGGGACAAATGACACTTTGCTTGTTTGTTTTGTTTGTTTTTCAGGAATAGCCTTTTTGCCTATTTCCTTAAACAAAGTAAAGTTGGCAGTATTAGGATAAGAGTGAGGGTTACCTTGGCAGATTCCATGGCAAGCTAGGGTGACCAAGATGGAGGGACAAACATGCCAGGCAGACAGAGCTTAAGTAAGAAGTGTTATTAGAAAGGGGAGAGGAGGGGGAAGGAGAGAGAAAAGAGGTAAACAGAGAGAGAGAGAGAGAGAGAGAGAGAGAGAGAGAGAGAGAGAGAGAGAGGAGAGAGACAGGAAAAGGCCTATTTGCCAGCAGGAAAGGGTGGGGGGGAAGCATAAGTGGGCGGGGGGGGGGTCTGTCTTTTAAAGGGGTCCTTTGCACCTGCATGCAGATTAGTAGTGTGAACCCTGGGCTGACCAGGGTACTGCCTGAGTGCATTCTGCCAGGTGACAAGGGTAAGCCAGCGTAATGCCTGAATCCTTACAGTCAGACATTTGAATGTGACTGAGGGAAAGACAGTGCTAAAGTCAGACGCTGGGTTTAGGGACGTGGCTCCTCTGGTAGAATTCTTTTATAACGTTCACAAAGCTTCAGTTTGATCCCTAGCATAAAACAGATATGGTAGCCCACATCTGTAATCCCATAACTGTGGTAGTGATCAGAAATTGAAGGTCATTTCTTGGCTAAGTAGAAAATTGAAGGTATTTTGGAATACATGAGATCCTGCCTGTCCCCCAAAGAGTAAAATTCTCACAGCTGTGTCATTCTGTTCCAAGGCACATAGCCTGGGGACAGGGTGGTTCCCACTGCTCTAACCAGAGAAGGGCTAACTACTTAAGCTCCCTCTTGCTTTTCTCTGCTAGAGGAAAAGACTCCTGTACCATTCAACCATGCAAAGTTACTACATAGAAAGGCCCACAGGTGCTGAGTGAGTTATGGTGGTCCACTAAACCAGGACTGTTCTCATTAGGATGTGTGATGTTATCCTTGTGATTAATTAATATGATTTCTTCTCATTATCAATGTGGAAAAACCAATGATCAGGCAAGCTTTTATCCCAAGGATGAACTCCAGTATCACACAGGACAGAAAACCAAACAGTGAGGCTTCCGCACAGTAACAACAGCTGGGTTCCCAAATAAATACAATCTGTTGGTTCTTTGGTCTTCAAAGTGTGGGTCTTCCATTGTTAAGCAGATTTAACTTTTTATTGGTAACTTCTTACTGGGGCTAAATACTCAAAAGATGTGGGGTCTCTCTCTTCTCTAACAGAGCAATGCTGATGACTGCCTGTGATCTCTCTGCAATTACAAAGCCCTGGCCTATTCAACAACGGGTATGTTGCTCATGTTGCTCAGTGGTGACCAAAGCAGCACTAAAAAGTCAAAACAAGAAAAGTCTCTTCACTTAAAGCTAGCTTTGGAAATAAAGATTTATGGAAATTTCTCCCTAATTGTAAGCAATATTAAAAGCAGACAATCGAACATGAAAATATTTCTTTTTTAAAGATTCATTTACACTTAATATTTGTTTGATACATTGAAAAAGATGGTATACATTGTTTGATACATTGAAAAAGATGGTATAAAACTAGCTGCTGGTTTAATTCTGCTGTTAATTACTTCTTGGTCACTTTGGAATATTTTGGAGCATCCCTCTTTGGTAGTCTTGAAAATTAGAAGCAAGATTTTCTTATGATTTAGCCTGTTAGACTGTCCCTCTGTTGTAAGGAGACATTAACAAGTAGATGTAGAGAGTATTAATAGATGTTGACAAGGACCTGATCAAGAGGCCAGAAACAGAAGTGACTGCCACAACTGTTTTTACAGAGGGAGTAAAGACACCAAAAATGACTGGGTATGCATTGTTATGCATACTGTATTTTTGTTTGGAGGGATTGCATTCAAAATCCTAATACACAAACAAAGACTGTTGGCCTGCTTTTACATGAAACTCTAGGCTATATATCATGAATACAACAAATGTGGGTTTTTCTTACTAAACACAGATATGGAGGAAACAAACTCACCTGTGGACTGAAGGTATGGTTCAGTATAGAAACCCTGACTACCATGTACAAGACCCAGGGTTACTTCCACAACACTGTCTGGAAAGGCAGCCTTTGCAGCTTCCTGATCTATTTTAAATATAATCATGTGCCCATTTCTGAATAAAGGGGGGAGATAAAAGGGAGGCTGCCTTGCTGCTTTCTTCTGAATTAAACTCTTTTCAATATTGAAAACAATAAAATTAAAAAGAAAAGGCCCCGAGGAAGTGATTTATAGACGTAGGGATGGGTAGAATCAATAATTAAAGAATGTGCCGGACATGGACCATGATGCTCAGAGAAGGGTATAATGTAGTAACTGGAGAAACTTTGCTGGATGTGGAGTATGGTGTCCAAGGACCATGTTGCTTCTTAATATCATTAGCCCATACATGTCACTTCAGCCATAGACCTTAATTTCTTTTTGCATAAGATGGTGGCACATACTTCATAACACCATTTTAATGATTAAACAACAATGCATTATACATAATACATAGATGTTCAAAGTACATTATGACAAATACAAAAATGTACAGGGCTACTACTCCTGAATTGGGTTTGTAAGTATTTTATTGATAATTTTTACATATATATTCATCATATGTATTTGCCTATAATCTGTTGCTGTGGTCAAGCCTTTGTCTGGTATTGGTGTCAAGGTAATATTGCCTTTATTTTTTAAAAAGTGAAAACAATCCTTCCATTTTTATTTTATAGAATGATTTGAGGGCTATTCTTTGAATATATGGTAGAATTCTTTTCTCAGTCCATATGGCTCTGGGATTTTTTTTAGTTGGGAGGTTTTTTTTTAATTACTATTTCTATCTTATTGGATGTTATGAGCCTATTTAAATTATTTGTTTCATCTTAACATTGTTAGGTCATATGTGTCCAGAGATTCATCCATTTCTTTTAAGTTTTCCTGTTTGGTAGAATACAGATTTTAAGGTCTGGGCTTATGATTCTCTGAATTTCCTCAGTGTCTGTTGTAATGCCTCCTTTTTCATCTCCCTCTCTCTCTTTTTTCTATTTTAAAATTTGGTTTATTTTATGTATATGTATATGAGTGTTTTGTCTATACGTATGCATGCTTGTGCCATGGAGTCAGAAGAAAGTGCCAGATCTCTTGGAACTATCTCTCTGTCTTTGGTTAATTTGACTAAAGGTTTATTGAGTTTGAATGTGTTGTTTGTTTCCCCAAAGAACCAGCTCTTCATTTCATTGATTCTTTGTAATCTATTTTTTAAATTTTTATTTCATTAATTTCACCTCTGGGTTTGATTATTTCTTATCACCTACTCTTTTGGACTGTTATTTTTTTTCTGGAGCTTTCAGGTGTATAACTAAGTTATTAATATAAAATTTCTTTAATTCTTGTTATGGAAGCACTTGGTGTTGTAAACTTTCTTGGTTCTGCATTCCTGGATTCCCATAGATTGCAGTATGTTATGTTTTCATTTTCATTCTAATGTAGGAAATTTGCATTTCCTTTGACTTCTTGACCCAATTGTCAGTCCATGACAGTTTCCATGAGTATCTGTACTTTTTGTCATTTCTGTTGTTGATATCTAGCTTTATTATTTTGTGATCAGACAGGATAAAGGTTGTCATTTAACTTTCCCTATGTTTATTGAGACTCACTTAGTGTCCTAATATGTGGTCAGTTTTGGAGACAGTTCTGTGGGCTACTGTGAAGAAAGTGTACACTTTTGTGTTTGGGAATAATGTTCTGTAAATGTCCAATTTGATTTATGATGTCATCAAGCTCAAAAGTTTCTCTATTTAGCTTCTGTCTGGATGACCTGCCTCTCGGTGAGATTATTAAAATCACCCATTGTTGCAGTGCTAGCTAGGGTTTATCTGTGATGTTGTATTCTGACCTCCAGACACATGACTTGTCATACACATGTGCATACATACAAGCACACATGAGTAAATAAACAAATAAATGTAAAAAGAGGAAAGTTTAAAATAAATTGACTATGGAAGAAAAATAGATAAACCTGATTTAGATTTATAAAAACAAAAAAGAACACCCTAAGAAAGACTAATTCATTCTAGGTAACTTTAAAACTGTAATTTCTAGAGTGAGGAGATAGCTTGGCAGTTCTTTCAGAGGCTGGGTTTCTCTTCCAGCATCTACATCAGCCAAGTCTCAATTGTTACATCTACAGTTCCAGAGGCTCCAAAACCCTCCATAGGCACCCACATGTAACAGGTTTTCCTCGCTGAACTTTCTATGGACCCCTAGCCCCCAAATAATGACAAGGAGACATATTATTAATTATGATGCTTGACCTTAGCTTACACTTATTCCCAACTAGCTCTTATAACTTAAATTAACCTGTTTATATTAATCTACATGGTGCCATGTTACCTTTTCTCCATAATTAATTTTTGGTTCTGGGAATGAAAGCCAGAGCCATGCATATGTTAGGCAAACACTGTTCCCCAAGTCCTTGAAGCAGTAATTTACCCTATGTCTATAGAGGATTTAAAAACAAAATCATATAAAAAGATTTATAATTAAAACTTTATTATAAAAGATTTTCAAATAAAAAAAAAAAAAACATGACACAGTGAGATTAGCCAGACCCAAAATATCTATATGTGATGCCTAATCTTGGTTGTCAACTTGAGTGAATATCCAGTCAACTAAAACCTAAGCAGCTGGGCATACCTTTAAAAGCTTTCCTTGATCTGATCATTGGAAGACTTTCCCTAAATCTGAATCATTTGATATCAGAAGGTATACCCTAAACCTCAGCCACCAGATAAAAGGACATAGAAGGAAGCTTTTGATTTTCGCCTGCTTGCCCTCACTGTGCCTGGCAAGTTCATCCCTCCTGCTGCTGAGACATTCCTTTGCTGGCATTAGAATCTACTTCTTTGGGATTCCAACACAGACCAAAGATCAGCTGAGGCACCCAGCCTTGTGGACTGAACAACTATGGGATTCTTGGGAGACAGCCATTGTTAGACTACTTGTCCCACAGCCTGTAGGCCACTCTAATTTCTTTCATCAGTTTTGTTCCTCCAAGGAAACCTAGTACATACTGTGGTACAAGGAGTGCTTCTACAAACAAAGAATTATAAGGATCTAGAACAGGCTTTCTGACTTTCTGGCACCCATAGTTACTAGGACCTCCTGGAATCATGGAGAGCATTAAAAATCTCTGGTGTGAACTATTTGAGGAATGCATTGAGATAAATACATTTGCTTATCCCGATTGACTTATTGGGAAGAGCATGGAATTTAGTGACTCTATGCTTAAAACTTTTGACAGTTGTGAGAAAATAACAGTGCCAACTGGTTGCTTCTAGCACCTCTGCATATATTAACAAAAGGAAAAAGTGAGCTGCCTGATAAAACTGACCAACGTCTAGCATCTCAGTATACAGTGACAAAGAAAAACAGTGGACTCTGGTACAATGTTCCAGGCATGCATAAACAGTCTCAAGGTGTCTAAGTGTGCCCTGGAAGACAGTCTTCTCTCCAGCAGACACTGAGCTCAAGTTGTGCAAAATCAAACGGAACCCTCACTATAAGACTGGCTGAATTACAATGAAAACTCAAGTCCTGGCCTCAGAAGGTGTCATCGGCTAAAGGAAGGGCACTGATTGGCAAGGAATTGGAATCTGTAACTTGGGGTGGAGATGTGTAGGGGAACCCTCCTGAGGCTGACTTGAACCCTCAGGTTCTGGAGAGTTCATTTCAGCAGAAAAAGCAGTCTTTCCACCCTGGCAGAGGGTGCATCCCTACCTGACTTCCGGCAATACCACCCCTGCTTCCTTAGCCTGTGGGAATTAATCCTGCTTTGTTACTGAATCATCAGTGACTTCCCCTGAAGGAGATGCCAGGCAAGACAATATTGATGTCCCTCAGGACCCACCAATAGTTTCCTCTAGACCTGTGACCAGACCCCAAGGTTAAACAGGCTCCTAGAGTGGAGATAGAAAATGGAGTGTGCAAGGAGGTGCAGTATACCATAGAGAGTTTGCTAATTCACTCAAGCAGAAGTCCAGGGAATGGATCTATGTGGGAGTGGATTTTAAGGGTTTGGGATGATGGTGGAAGAAAAAAACTAGATCAGGCTGAGTTTATTGATATGAGTCTACTGAGTGGAGATTTTAGATTTAATATGGAGGCTTACACAGTTGTTTGTGATTTAAAAAAAATGTTGATCATTTTTGTCTCTTATACAAAATACCAGACTGGTCTACTATATTGATGACATTATGTTGATTGGGCCAAGTGAGCAGAGGCAGCAACCACTTTGGAGGATGGGGAATAAATCCAAACAAAGTTCAAGGGCCTCTACCTCAGTGGAATTCTTAGGAGTCTGATGGTGTGTTCCATGCAGATATTCCTTCTAAAGTGAAGGCATCTGGTCCCTCCCACCACCAAGAAAGAAGTACAGCCGTTACTGGGCCTATCTGGATTCTAGAGATAGCATGTTCCTCACTTGGATGGAATAGGAGAAGGCTCTGCAACAGGTCAGGCCGCTGTGCAGGCTGCTCTACCACTTGGATCATGTGATCCAGCAGACCCTAAGGTACTTGAGGTGTCAGTGGCAGATGGGGGTATTGCTGCAGCCTTTGGTAGGTGAATAGGCGAGTCACAGATAAACCTGACTAATATACTGTGCATCGCAGTGAACATCTACACAATTAGGAGAGCTATTCTGAAAATGTGGGGCTCCACACTAGATTTTATACTTTCACTATCAATTATATTTATGAATTTATCCTCTATCCCAAAAAAAGGCAAAATGAAAAATCAATAATGACAGATTTGATAAAACTAAAACAGCAACAGCCAAAACAATTCTATTTTTGATTGTGAGCCTAGCCTTTAATGGCTGAGCCATCTCTCCAGCCCAAGCCAAAGCAATTCTAAGGAGTAAGAATACTTTGAGAAGTATCGCGACATCTATCCTCAAACTATACTATAGAACTATAGTGATAAAGGCAATGTGGCACTGTCATGAAAGTGGACAGGGCTGAAGAGGTGGTCAGCACTTGCTCCACTTCAGAGGACCCAGGTTCAGTTTCGAGTGCCCACATGGCAGCTTACAATGGTCTAACGCCAATCCCTAGGGATCCGATGCCCTCTTCACACCTCTGCAGGCACTAGGTCTGCGTGTGGTATGCATACATACATGCAGGTAAAACACCTATATACATAAAATAAATTTAAAAATTTTAAATAGACAGGTATTCCATTGGAATAGATGAGAGGACCCAGGAATAAAACAACAAAGCTATGCCTGTTTGATTTTTCATACAGGAGTAAGAAACACATTGGGGGAGGGAGGGGAGCCTAGTCAACAGATGGTGCTGACAGAACTCGCTGTCTACCTTCAAGAGAATGGAGTAAGAGCCCTATCTTTTAACACTTGTCAAAAGTCCATTCAGAATAGATCAAAGACTTTAATTTAAAACCTGAAACGCTAAGACTGCTAGATGAGAACAGGGGATGTCCTTCAAGGCAGTGGTTGACAGAACTTCTGAAGAGACCTGCTATAGGAGAGAGACGGGCCCTAAGTGTCAGCAGCAACTATCTGGGCCAATGAGGAATGAAAAGCTCTCTGCAGAGCAAAGGGAACCCATCAACAGAGCAGATAGACAACCCGCAGAGTGAGAGAAAATCTGTACCAACTAGGCTTTAAGAAATTAATTTGCCAGGGGAATAAAACTGCCAGCCAACAAATGGGTTAATGAAGGTATAGACAATTCCCAAGAAAAGAAACACAGATGGCCAATGACTTTTATAAAATGTGTTCAATATCCCTAGCCATCAGGGAGATGCAAATTAAAACTATTTCGAGATACCATATTATCCCAGTCAGAATGGCTCTCATCAACAAATTTGACAACAAATGTTGGAGACAATATGGAGGATAGGGAACCATTGTTTATCACTGGTGGGGTACATATGGAAGTTCTTTGGAGGTTCCTCCAAACCTTAAAAACAGCTCCTGCGTGACCCATCTTTACCTCTTGGGCATATATTCATAGAACTCCATACTCAGTCACAGAGATGTTTGCATACTCATGTTTATTGCTGCCTTATTCAGCAGCAATAACTGGAGTCGACTTAGTCTATCAACAGATGAACAAATAGTGAAATAGGGTACAAATATAAACTGGAATGCTATCAGCTCTAAGAAAAAGGAAATTATAAAGTTTTCATAAAAATGGGTGGACTTAGAATGTATAATGTTAGGCAAGGTCACACAGTGTAAGAAAGAAAAATCTAAAACTGTATGTTCTCTCTCATATGTGGATCCTAGCCTGTAATATATAGACACAAATATAGATATACATGTATAGGTGTGAACAAATGTACATGTAGATACACTATAATATAGAAAGGAGAACAAGAAAGAATAAGTACTAGGTGATGAGGAAATTCAGGTAATGAGCGAATGAGTCATGAAAGAATATAAAACTAAAATAACCTTTAATAACCATTATTATTTAACTGGAAAGTTGGCTCAGTAGTTAAGAGCACTTGTTACAGCCGGGCAGTGGTGGCATACACCTTTAATCCCAGTCCTCGGGAGGCAGAGGCCAGCCTGGTCTAGGGACCAAATTCCAGGTCAGCAAAAACTACACAGAGAAACCCTGTCTTGGAAAACAATACCAACAACAAACAAACAAAAAAAGAGCCCTTGTTGCTCTTACAGAGGACCTGGATTCCATACCCAGCACCCACGCAGTGGTTCACAACTATCTGTCTGTAACTCCAGTCTCAGGACATCTGATTCTGATGCCCTCTTTGGCTTCTGCAGATACCAGGCATGGATGTGGTCCACAGTTATACATGCAAGAAAAATACTCACACGCACAGATAATAAATAAATCTACATAAAGTCTAAAATAATCGTTATTGTGGATAATTTTATACTGAGATTCAATTAGTATTGTAGGCAGTGTGGGATAAAAACAAAGAAGCTTTATCAGTGTTGACAACTAGGATTTTCTTTGTGAATGGAAAGGTGAAACTCTAAGACAGGTGGCATTATACAGAAGTCCTATTGTCCTGAACTTGAATTGGAAATATTCTGTGAAATTATGCTATGTTCTAGTTCCACCCCCTCAAAGAGTTTCTGCATAACGACCAGCCACTGGTATTGTGTTTCTTCTGGACTGGGACCTCTGGTTGACTCAGTTTGGAGGATCCATGGCTCTATCAAGACATGACTAGTTGAACCACAGAGCAAGAAGATGAACGTAGAAAGCCTTGCTACACTGAAAGCAAGGAAGTTACTGGAAAGCAATAGAGTGTGTCCAGAGAACAGACACCTAGTCCAAGAAGCCTGCAGTGGCCAAAATGGAGGAAGTTGAGTACCCAAAGGGACTGAGATACATAACATGTTTAAACCCAGGAGTTCAAATAATACACGTATTGGAAACAAATGGAGTCTTCTATTGTCACTTTTGGTAGATGCTGGAGAACCAAGTGGGTTTGTAATAGGTACACTGGCAAGAAGCCTGTTTGCTTAAATGTGAGTTACACTGAAGCATATCCAAATAATTGATGTGGGAAACTTTCTTGCTACTTAAAGCTGGTAAGACAAACCTAAGAAATGTTGGCTTTGACTGTCACCCTTGTGAAAACCCTAATAAACGGACTCCAGAAAACATCAGTAATTACTGCCAGGGTCACAAAAAGGGGCCGGCTCCATATAATTAGTGACTACTGCACCATGCCTAAGGAGCCGACTGGTGAGAAAATGAGATGTCCATCTGGCCGAGTTTTAAGAAACAGTAAGAGGCGTTATGAGAATGTGGCCTTCAGAATCCAGACTCCGAGAAACTCTAAGATAAGCAAACCAGAGTATGCATCAACGATAGAAATGGCAAGAAAAGATTGCAAGAGGGATTACAACAAACTTAAAAGCCAGTCAAGCTGCTGCAGTAAAGCAGGGGTGTTGTTTGTTTGTTGGTTTGCTTTTTTACCCATCTTTTATAGACAGGTGCTTAAGAACATGGAGTCTGCTGTGACATCATGTCTCCTAGGAATGTCAGAGGTCACATCCATAAAGTCTCAACAACATGACTGCCCAAACATGAGCTGAACACAGATGACACCAATAGATGGGATAACATGGTTGGGGGAAAGCTCACAAGACCTCAACCCTTCACAAAGAACTACAGACAGCTAAAGAATGGTAGAGGAAGGAGAGACCGTCTCCCCAGCCAGGGAGAGCACATCCGATACCAAATGGTCATCCCTGAAAACATGCACACAAGTAACATTACACTGAGCAAGCAGGTGGTAGTTAATGTGTTTAGAAATTATATCTATACACATGCATGTTAATAACAATTAATGAAAAAAGACTAGGATTTTAAAGCAAGGAAGGGAGGGAGGAGTTGAGAATGGAGGGTAAATATAATCAAAACACATTGTATGAAATTCTCAAGAAATTTGTGTTTTTAAAAAAAAAAAAGAAAGAAGCCACACACCTTTAATCTCAGCACTGGGGGAGGGGAGCAGAGACAGGCAGATCTCTGTGAGTTTGAGGCCAGTCTGGTCTACAGAGCTAGTTCTAGGACAGGCTCCAAAGTTACAGAGAAACCCTGTCTTGAAAACAAAACAAAGCAAGAAAGTTAAAGAAACAGGTGCTTAATAAATAGCTTCATACACATGGGCACTGTCTTGGTACTGATTGGCAAACTGAATGGAACATGTCACTTCTGCTCAGTTATAGAAGATCACATGATTGTGGTTAGTTGTATGGTTAAAGCAAATGCAGTGTTATCTCTGTTTCTTGTTGCTGTTTTGTCCTAATGCTCCTGATGTGGTGGAAACAACCGATTTGCTGCATTTAATTATCTTTATTCAAAGTCCCAGTTTTGCAGAATGGCGGGCTTTCCCCCAACACTCAGTCTGCTGTCTGTTTCAGATAGCAGAACTCGTGGCAGCTGAATTCTTCGATCAAGGAGACAGAGAGAGAAAAGAACTCAACATCGAGCCTGCTGTAAGTACGAGGCTTTGTTGGTAAGAAGTAGTCAACCACATTTTTAAGTTATATACTTACGGTAAAGACAGGCTCTTCCTGAGTACGTCAGGCTAGTCTCAATGGTACATCCCGTTTGCCTCCTCCGCCTCTTGGTGCTGGAGTAACAAGCATGTGACCAAGCTTGGCTAAAGTGTATACTGCCTCTTAACACTTCTGTGATTCCTTTGCATGGGAATGTGGTTTCTCGTTGTACTTTTTAACACTTTCTTTTTAGAAGAATTAAACATGTTGATTACAAAAGCGAAAGCAAGCTAAGAAGACAACAACTGCTTACAAGTCATGCACAGTTTTCTTGTAGTTTTTTTTTTTTTTTTTCTCCACTTGAATGTAATAAGCCACTTTTATTCTAATATGATCTTTGGTGTATGTGGATCGTAATTGCACAAAATGAGTGCAACCACAACTCAATTCACTTCCTTTGCTGTAATGTTTGCCAAGTTCACTGTCACAAACAGCACAGTGATAAACAGCTGCATTGCTGTCCCTTCCTCTGTAGTGTTTGAGGGTCCCCAGAAGGGGACCATTTAATATAAAGGTACAGATCTCAAATGTGAGATCCATTTGTTTTAGTTTTTTTCCCTTTCTTTGTATGGTGATGGATACATGTCTGTAATATCTTACCTCCTTAAACCACTGATCCACCTTTTTACAGTGACCTTTCCTATGTTTGCTTGGAATAACTGTAGATCTGTCTGTGTGTATTTCCAGGATCTAATGAACAGGGAGAAGAAAAATAAGATCCCAAGTATGCAAGTTGGGTTCATAGATGCCATCTGCATGCAGCTGTATGAGGTATTTACAGGGAAAATACTGGATTGCTAAACTTAGATTATGTTATGAATTGAATCTGAAGTGCATTGAAGAGATTAACACTAGACACATATTTTTGCTTCTAAGGCAAAAAATGTAATTATCATTGGTATTGTTGCTTTCTGCTGACGAAGGTGATGTCTGTACGGAAGAAGGGATACATTTCACACTTCCTATTTCACAAAGGCATTGACTCACTTGGCATATAAATATCTCCTGAGTGTCTAGGGTGTGCTGGACACCAACACATTAATTTAGGGGACACTAAGAGGCAGGAGCTGGTGCTGCCCTCCGGCAGATGTTTGCTGCATACTCTGTGTTAGCATGATTTTTTTAAAAATTTAATTTTAGCCTAAGTACAAAAAATAATCACCCAACTTTTTTTCACTGTCATGTTGTAGCTTGGATGTTGTTAAGAAATTTTTTCTTAATGCTTAAAGGAGGAGGTTGCAGGAATTCTGGTTCTAATTTTCCTTCTACTGGTTTCACTAGTATGCTTTTGCTAGCTTTTGTTGTTCCGGTAAAAGACGTACCTAATATTCAGTTCACTAGTTTACATGTTTATTACCCAGTAAAGAAAAGAGATGCTGTCTTTGTTTCTAAAAGTTCAAATGGATTTAAGTTTCATTTGTTTGAGAAATTTGTCCTGGAGTTGTCATGAAAGGTTAAGATCAGTCAAAAACTACAATGTTTCCAATCCAGACTTTTCCGGTTCAGTAATAGGATTTGCAAAGTTCATCTTCCACAGAAAAAGAGTATTTGCCCCAAATATGTAGTTGGTGGAAAGCACAATTGAGAATCCAGTTCTATTTATTTATTTGTTTGTTTATCAGTGCTGGGGCTCAAACTCAGGTTCTTGTATATGCTAGGGACCACCAAACCATAGCCTTAGTTTTTGTTTTGTTTTGTTTTTCAAGACAGGGTTTCTTTGTATATCCCTGGCTATCCTGGAACTCACTTTGTAGACCATGCTGGCCTCAAACTCACAGAGATCTGCCTATCTCTGCCTCCCAAATGCGGGGATTAAAGGCGTGCACCACCACACCCAGCTTCCAGTTTTCATTCTTAGCTCAGGGTTCTAGAATTGTCTTCATTCTATTGATGTAAAGAGATACCATGACCAAGGCAATTCTTATTAAAGAAAGCATTTAATTGGGGGCTTGCTTACAGTTTCAGGGGTTTAGCTCATTACTATCTATAACATGACTTATAATAGGTCTTAATAATAAAAGCCCAGAGATCCATATTGAAGGATGAAAGCTGAAAGATCAGTTAAGCCTAGTAGCCAGCCACTAGAGCTCTTACCTCTATGAAATATTCAGACTGAAGAGACTGAGCTCCTGTCTCCTCCCACCTATGTTCCTCTCTCTGCCCAGCCACCTCACTTCCTGTCTGTACAGACCTCCAGACCTCTATGGTTAGCTAGTGGCTAGCTCTGTCCTCTGATCTTTAGGCAAGCTGTATTTGTTAGAGTCTAAACAAGATGTCACTGCAGTCATCCTGGCCAGACGCAGACAAGCTTGGTACTGGAGAAGTACTTGAGATCCTGATCCACATGCACAGTGGGTGAGAGGTAGGGGTGGGGGTTGTCCTGGTTCTGATCCTGAGCTTTTGAAACCCCAAAGCCCATCCCCAGTGACACACCTTCTTCCAACAAGACCGCGCCTCCTAAGCCTTCTCAAATTGTGTCACCCCTAGTGACTAAGCATTCAAATTTAGGAGCTTATGAGGACAATTCTTACTCAAATCACCACATGCATCAAAAGGGTTAATAAACAGCCCTGCTGGTGAGACAAAGGGGACACAGAAGGAATCATAGGAAAGGCTACTCTGTCACCTCTGTCTCCCCACCTCCTCAGGGTCCATTTGGCTGGTTTCCTTCATTGTGAAGAAGTCCCTCCCCAGAAGCTGCTTGGGGCTGAGTTTTAGGCACCCTCCGCCCTCCTCTGTATGCCAGACACTGCCCCTGTTGGTTGAATAAAGAGCTTCTCAGTTGATGGTACCCATGGCACTTGATTTTCCCATTGCTGTAATCAGGAAGACCGGTGTAATCAAAAGAGCCATTCTAGATTTCCCTTTGCTGTATAGTTGGTGCTAGCACTCTCTGTGCTGTTAGGAATTCAACATCATCGTAAAAGGTGTTTTTGCTTTTATTATAAAAAACTAGTACATTCTAACTTCAGAGCAAATAGACTGTCCCAGGAAACAAGCAGGAAGAGGAAAATCTCTCAGAGTCTGGCTATTTAGGGATAACTACTGGTGTCTGTGTGTATGTGCCCTGTAAGGTATTTCCATGTCCTTTAATAAAAATTGATGTTTGAAATCTAGGATATAGCATACATAGTTCCATTGTCAGATGTGTGCCTGAGACATTTATACTGACCATAAAATCCTTACAAAATATCGCTAAGCCTTGTTGTTGGGTATTTGTCATTTCTCACTATGTGACAAACAAAGCTGCAGCAAATGTTCTTGTAGCTAAATGCATGGCATTTGGTAGTAATAATAACCTTTATGAAAATCTTGCATTGAAAATGCATTGCATAAAACCATTCTGTGGGAAAGCAAAGTCATGGGTTCCCACAGCCCCCCAGGGACTGCCAGCTTTCATACGGACAAAGATTCCAGCCCCATAAATGAGCCCCCACAGCTCAGCATTTACATTCTTTAAGATTCATTGTTATTTTTAATTATGTGTATGCCTTTGTGTGAGAGTATGTGCACACAAGTACAGGTGTTCCGAGAGGCCAGAGGCAATGGATCTCTCTGGAGCGCTAGACAGTTATGAGCCACCTGACAGGAATTCTGGGAACCAAGCTCAGGTCCTAAACAAGAAAACACATGCTACACTGTCACTCCCCTCAGCCTCTCCATCAAGCCCCCTCAGTGGGACATGGAAGCGCTTGTGCTCTCTTCGTCCCCAAGGGGAATCTTTGGCAAAACACTGTGTGTGTTCCAGTGAATGTGGCGCTTGGTGGCAAGCCTGTGGCAGAGGCCTCTTTCTAATTGTTTCCTTTCTCTTTTTAGGCCCTGACCCATGTTTCAGAGGACTGTTTGCCCTTGCTGGATGGCTGCAGGAAGAACAGACAGAGATGGCAGGCCCTCGCAGAGCAGCAGGAAAAGGCGCTTATTAATGGGGAAAGCAGCCAGACCAAGTGAGACTGACAGCGCATCCCCCTGCGCAAACTGCCTGGTTTCTCCATGCACTATGCGTATTTGTGTGCACTCTGCCACTGCTGTATTTTGTTTTTGCACAGCTTTTGAGGGCATAGCATGAATTGTTTTAGGGATTACTGCCTATCCACTAAAGTGAAATGAGGAGTCATTCACTTTGAACACATTGATAAGAATGGTGTCAGTGGCTTTCCCACACTCAGCTTGGTTTTGCTCGGGGTGGGGGTTATAAATAACTGCCTTTGTGTTTCTGAGTCACTGGTCTTTCAAACACGTTAGGAGTCTTTCTCAAAAGTAGGTTGGAGGCAAATTGATTATGCTCTGGGACATCATGAGATGAATGTTGACTGGGTGGATTGTAGGGAGAAATGAGGGGAAACTTGAAGTCTTAGCGTAGGTAAGGCGTTGAGAAACAAGATGTGGTACCCAATTGCTCTGCTCTTTCTGGGATGGGGAAAACTTGCAGTACAGCCCATCTATGTGGCCGAGCAAACAGTTCTACAGCCAATCTATGTAGCAACCCTTCATTCAGCACGTAGTCTCAGAACCCCACCTAAAGCCCAGGGCCAGATGATCCCCCCCCCCCACTAACTTCCCTTGAGAGAGTATGTGCCAGACACAGGAGGGCTGGGAATAGCTCTCAGCCAAGAGGAATGTTCCACCCGAAGATCTTTCTGACAATCTGCATTTTAAATACTGAAAACTTTAAAAAACGATTTCTTTTTAACTTTTCATCGCCTAAACACAACAATCAAGTTCCAACGGAAAAGTCCAGGGAGCACTTGCCTGAAGTCAGACATGTCTACAGTATGAAAGTGCAAAAATTCGCCTTTATTCCTCTCTCAAATTTACAGGAAAAGAAGATAATTAGATGAGTAGCAGAGGTTTGTCTCTGAAAGGGAGCTCAGACAATGAGTTCAAAGGAACAGAGTGTGAAATCTTCTGCCTGAATAAAAACAGCCTTCGGTATTGGGAGCAGATAGTGAGCCACATCCAGGAGCTGGGGTAGGGAAGAGTGTCTGTTCCAAAGGGGAAGAAATGTTTGCATTTGAGGAGGATTAGAGGGATTTGACTCATTAACGCCCGCCCTTCCCCACCTCCTCCCAAAGTGGGCGAAGTATCTGACCTGGGTTTCTAATGTTAACTTGGATCAAAATGGTTTCTTTTTCCTTTTCTCTTTGCTTAAATTCAACATGTCCACTTTAGATCCTGTGTATGTACATTTTAATGTGGCTTTGTTCTTACTGAGATGAGGAAAGGCAAAGCAGGTTATACATTACTGCTTTGTATTGGTGGTGGGGGGTGTCACCAATGCTGATTGTATTATTGTTGTAATACTTGTATTTTCAGAATATTATTTTATTTGTGTTTCAATTGTATAAATGAAATCTGTAAGGTTGCCTCTAATGCACTGGTGTGTAAATTACACAGGCTGTCACTAACAATAGTCATATCGGCATACTGTATACATCCATGCACGCATACATAATTCCTGAGTGTAGATATGTGCTTAGAGAACACTCTCTTAGCCCAGCACCGAACCCCACAAGCTGTGACTGAGCAGTTATGCTGAAATGCAGTTGTATTTGTAGCTTAAGTCACTGAGAACATTTTTAAGGATGACATTCTATGTGGAGGATTTGTCTGCCATGTTAACAAGCAAGAAGTCAGAGTGGAAATTATTTGGTTTGCTTTAGTAATGGTTTATTTTACCTACTAATATAAGCATTAAAATAGGAGGAGCAGTGCCATGCCTATGTTATGTTATTGCTGGGTATTTTAGTACTATTTTATTCAAATAATTTTTATTTTATAGGAAAACCATTCCATACGTGGATTTCTGTCTGTGGTACAAGAACACAAATCACAGTTTTTGTTCTGAATGTGAATATTTCCTTTCTAGTAGCCTCTCAAGTTGGGATATATTTATTATATTATTATAATCTCTCCCTTATGCTGCCATGTATTGATATTGCCCATAATGAACAAGATATTGTTCTTGTCCTAGACCGTTTGTTTGGTTACTTGCTTGACTGGCTATAGAAAAATAATATAACATTTAATTTTAATTTTTAGCCAGAAAAATCCCTGTGTTTTGGTAACTTGTCTATAAGGTTTTCTGATCTTATATGTTTAGAAGATCTGCCTTTGCTGGTCATGATGCTGTGTGAATGTGTGTAAGTCAATTAACCTCTGCACCTAAGGAAGCTGTATTCCTAATGTAGTTAGGTTTGGACAAAGCCTGTGATCAAAGAAAATGTCACAGGAGGCAGCTAGCTCCTAAGCCTTTCTTACGGGCCTTTGAGACCACTGTCGGAAATGGGGTATTGGAGTAGAGAAGTGATCTCATCCCATAGGTCATTTCTCATGTTGAGTTCTTCAGATGGAAAGCAAGTACATTTAATCCACTCCACATGGACCTGGCTCGGAGCATAGAGCCAGGATGCTGCTTTGTCACTGGCTGATTAATTACAAAGAAGAGTTTCTGTTAGTAGCAGCATGGAGATAAGGATGGATATGGAAATGTACTAGAAATATTGGTTTCTTGAAGGAACTTGAATCCCAGACAATTTTTGCCTACCAGTAAAGTGCCTTTACTCTCAGAGTGTCGCAGAAGTGTGAGGCTTGGCACCTATTATTGCATTTCCAAATATCCTGGGGTTTCCACTAGATTGCACTCCTAAACCGTAGCAGGTAAGCAGCAATGCTTTACTTTAGCCTGATTTAAGATGACAGAAGACAAAGTGTTCCCTTGCTCTCCTGTAAACAGCTGTTTCAAATAAGGTGGCAGAATGTATTTACTTGGTATAAGCCATGCATCAGGCCACCTTTTATTAAATGCTCTCCATATGTTATTAAATCTTGTCTGTATGTTAGGTACAGTGCTCGGGGCTGAGTCAGAGCAGTAACTCCAAGGAGCTCACAGGCTATCAAGGAAATAACTAAGAACATTGTTTCTCACCTCACCAACTTCACGAGCAGGAGTAGAGGCTGTTCCATCACTTTCCTGTTCATCTGCACCATGCATACTGTGCACCTTTCCCCAGAGTTTCTTATCCGTCTGTGAACACCCTGTCTTCCTGTCACCATGGATCTTTTAACCTGCTGATAGCCTGAAGAACACCTGTGTGAGCAGTCACATCTTCCGTGATCATGTTTCCATATTCCAGTCAGGCTGTGAGGGGTCAGAGTTCTCGTGAATCCCCTCTGCCCTCTCACAAAGAGCAAAGAAGCAAGTGTTAGAGCTTACCTCACCCCGCTTCATTCTTATCAAAAAGCCTGTGTGGACCTGTCTTGAATGTTGTTGAAAGTGATGTAAATAGCTGAAAATGTAAATTTCTATTACAGTTTAAGAATTCTAATGAACAATCACTCACCACTATTGAGATCTATTTGTATTCTTAATGCCTTTTCAATATATCTGAACAAATATATAGTTTCTGGCACTATTTTTATACTAGCATACAGGAGTTACTGTGTAAATTATGTTTTGTTGTGAAGCCATTTAAAATGATTGAAATGCTGGTTTCTTTTCTTTCCTCTCACCACGCCAAAAACCATTTCCGACCATCCTTCTGTGAGGGGTGGGTCACTGTGCAGAAGCGGAAATGCTTGCCCACCCACCCCGGTCCCTGTAGAGGTAGACATGATCGAGGTGGTTTTCCATTGTGCAAAGTCGTCACACGTCAATTGTATCATTTTGCAGTGCTGTAAAAATAAAATGAATGGACAAGAACTGGATGTGGTGTAATCATTAGGGGGTATTGAGGTTTAAGAATAAGGAAATGATAGGAAAATTGGGTTTCACCCTGGGAGAGCAGGTCCAAGTAGTTTGAGAGAGTTTTACACTGAAGTTTAATAAATATTTAGTCCTTAAATAGACTCTTCAATAATAGTCATTTTATTGGTAATGTCTTAGGTTACCAACTTGAGGGCGGCCTTTCCCACCATAACAGCACTGTGGAGGGTGATGGCATTATTACCAACCTGGTGTACACTGGGAGCTAAAACTTAAGTGTTTCCTTCTTATGCAAAGTCAGGCCCGTATCTGTAGCTCTGCAGCCACTTCTAATGCTACAAAGGGCCTGCTCCTTTGTGACATGAAAGGATTTTTTGTGATGTAAAAAATTTTAAAAGTCCTAAGTCCAGGCTGACTGGATCAAAATACTACCTAGAAGCATTATAAACAACATGTCTTGCTTTGTTTTTGGCTTTATGGATGTTGTTCCTTGATTTAGTTCTCCTGATAAAGGTTACTGTAGTTGCCTCAAGGGATTCCTGACACCCACTGGTGTTTTCTTGTTTGTTTGTTTAGTTTGGGGCCTCTAGGCAAGTCCTCTTCACTGGTCAGAAAAAACCATCTCACCTGAAGGAATAGTGCTGTAAGTACACGTAAAAGGAAAGTTAAAAATTCTGACCATAAGAGGGCGCCAGAATTTCACTTGTCTTTAAAGAAGTACCAATTGGCCACAAAGGATAATGAAAAACTGCTTCTTCAAATATTTTTGGTGACTAAATATGAAAAAAAAAATCCAAGCGAGACTTTCTAAAAGTAATGAAAAATTCATTTTCTATTAATTTTTATGAAAATATAAAATTTTGTTTATTGCCCTTAATCCAGTGATCATGCTGTCAAGATTTTCATAGTAAGATCATTTGTGTTCTCTTTTAAACGGTATTCCGGTATTCCACTCCTGGGACACCAACCCTTTCTGTACTAATAAACATTTAGAAACTTCTTGAAATGCAGTTCTGTGATTAGCTGTTTGTCTTCTCGCTAACAGGAATTCTAGTTTAACACATAGAAATGTCATGCTATGGCTTTCTCTTTTCAAAGAACACAACACTTGTAGAGACTATTCTCTGGTTTTATGCTACATTCAGCTAAAGTTTGGGGGAGGTTAGAAAAACTAACAAGCCATTTGTTTAAATAAAAATCTCAAGAAATATGAATATTTTACTATTCCCCTTCTGGCTGGTAGCCATGTCCAGGAAGCGGGGGTGAAATCAACCTTGAGCGAGTTCACCATTCTCAGAATGACACGTTTGTTTATGGAGGTTGAACCATCTTTGTGTTCTAGGATGAAGCTGGCTTGATAATGGTGGATATTTTTTACGTGTTCTTAAATTTGTTTTGCAAGCATTTTATTGAGAATCTTTGTATTTCTCTTCATCGAACATATTGACCTAAAATTACTCATTACTTTTCAAAAAAAAAAGTCATATGGAAACCTACTATTGAGGAGCCTTCCTAAAATACATCTATACACATACATAAAAAGAGTTAAAGTATATAGCCCAGGTTGACCTTGAACTCATGATCCTCCTTCCTCCTTCCTTTAGCAAGTCCTGCCCCTACCAATATACAACACCACAACCAGAAGAGGGGAAATGGGGGTGGGGGGAGACCTGAGATAAGTGGAGGGAGGGGAAGCTGTGGTTGGAATGTTTTGTATGAGAGAAGAATAAATCAAAATTGTCTTTATAAAGTCAAAATGTAGTTGCTCAATAATGGAGCAACAATGCCCTTCCTAGAGAACACACACTAACAAATAAAATGCCTACCTCCAGGACATATTTTGGAGTTGTTAGCCAGTGAGGCTTAAAAGACTTCAAAAACACTCCAGAGCTTGATAATGAGACTCCCTAAGTATTGCTGAAGACACACATACTTGAGTCCTAGAACATGGTCCTCCTCTGGAAATGTCATCCCTACTAGCTAGATTGCATAGTGGGAGTCAATTCTAAGCTTACAACAAAAAGAGAAAAGTAGTCGTTACACCCAGCTGTGAAGCCTCTAAGCTACAACAATGACTGCCCTGGCAAGACTTATCTACTGGTGCAACAGTTGCCCAAATATCAAGAGAATAATCAACCATTTTTTAAATTGGATTTAAGGCCCACTTCACAAGAAGAAATCCATCCCTGGCACCTTCATTGGACCAAGAACAGGTCGGTCATGGGCTCTGGAAGGAAATCCATTCCATTATTCTGCTAAATTGATATACTAATAAACCAAAGCCTATGGCTTATTGTTACACCCATACATTAAGGCACCTCTCAACCGTGGGCTGAGAGGCATCTGCTTGCAGAAGATAATGTGCAACAAAGAAACCCACAACTGGCCACAGTGCAAAGAACAAGGAACTGAGGATGTTCAGCCCTGAAGGGAACATGTGTACTGAAGACCCTCCTCCAAAGGCTTAGGGACCATTAGGGAGGGAGGGAGAATGTGAGAGTCAGAGATGCAGGAAGACCACAAGGAAACTGCCCTCTGCACACAGCACAGCAGTTGCACATGAGAAATCACAGAAGTTGTGACAGCATGTACGAGACCTGTGCAGGCCCAAGGCAGACCAAATCCCACCCGAATCGGGGAGTTGGGAACAAAGTTCCAACCCCAACCAAGGAGTTAGTTATTAGGAATCATTGGTGCTGGGAAATAAAATAAATCAGATCAATTTATTTTAAGGATGTAGCCTAGCAAGATGACTACACTCTAGTGGAAGGTTATGTGTTCAAGAATATGTGGACAGTACAAATAACCTTGATTGAGGGTAGGGAGACAGATGACGAGGAAGGAGGAGGAAGAAGAGGAAACTTGATGTGGTAAATTTACTTTAAATATAGGCAAAATCTAGGCAAACACTAGTATTGGCTTCTCTTTTCTTTCTGACTTTGGATACAGTGTAGACAGCTTCTTCAAGCTCTTTGATTTCCCCATCATGATAGACTGAATCTTTGTACTGGGAGCCAAGATGACTCACTCTCCTTCAAGTTGTTTCTGTTGGGGATGGAATCAAAGCAACAGATAAACTAGGGTAAATGATAATATTTTAATTTTAATTGAAATATAATTAGGTCATTTTCCCATTCCCTTTCCTCCCTCCAGTCTCTTCCATGTTTACTCTCAAAATCTTGAACCTCTTCTTATTTAACTGATATATATGTATACATGCCAATTATACATACACACACACACACACACACACACACACACACACACCCTTCTCAGTCTGTTACTATTACTTATATGTATATGGTTTCAGAGCTGACCACTTGGTATTGAATAAGCAATTGGAGGGCTCATCCTGGGGAAGACTGCCATTCATCAGTCCTCAGTTGCCTGTAGTTCTCTGTGAATGGGTGAGGACCCATGTGACTTCTCCTCCCCTGGTAACATATCGATTGGTGGTGTACCTTTTGGGGTTTTATTTAGGCAGCCATGTTATTGAGATATCATGGGTAAAACATCCCTATCATTTTTAGCAGACAATCTCCCAGGATATTTCCTGATTCTCTTACAATTTTTTCCCTCTTCCATGGTGTTCCCTGAGTTTTAGATGCAGGAGTTGTATTGTAGATGTATTGGCTGGGCACTCCATGGTCACTTATTCTCTACATTTTGGCCAGTAGTGGTTTTCTGTAATGTTCTCCAAGAATTGCAAAGACAACTTTCTTTGGTGAGGGGAGAGACCTATACTTATCTGTTGCTATAAGGGTATTTAGGATGCAATTGGAAATTATGTTGGTTTAGTAAAGTTCTCCTCTAAGATCCATGCTCTACTAACTCTAGGTTTCCAGTACCAAGCATGACTCCCCTCCTGTTGAGAGGGCCTCATATGTAACTAGACAGCTGTTGGTCACCACCAGTGTATGAATGCTACTATTGCCCCCTTAGGGTTGCTGTGCCGTGTGGGTTGCCACTGTGATTCATAGCTGTTATGGCTAAGTAAGGCTTAGTCATTTCCCTCCCTTGGCTACAAGAGTATAAACTTAAGGTACTATGAAAGCTAGCCTTCAGGCAGGAAGGATTCAAGTTAGATCAAACTTAGGTACACCATATCTTGTGTCCAAAGTGCATGGTAATAGTGATTTACCTTTAACCTCTGGGAGCTAGCCAATGGCAACAACAATGAGTCAATATTTTAAAGACTATCAAAAATAAGTTTTATCTTCACTATCTCCATTTTTTATTTTGATGTAAAAAAAATCAGTTGTCCTTTGAAAAAGGAATAGTGCACTATTTTTTCCTTTTTGTCCCAGTCTTATATGAAGAAATATCTTCTGGCAACTAGAAATGATGGTTTGTAAATGTATGAGACGTTTTGCTAAAAGAAAAACAAAAGTTTCTTATGAAAACCAACTTGATGTTATCTACTTCGAGCATAGCATTTTGACTATTTTGCCCTGATGAGTTGTTTAGAAGTGTTGTGTATCTTGAGTTCTCGTCTCAATATGAGTATAATTTTGAAATTATAGAAATTATAAGGCAATTACAATAGAAATTACAAGGCAATTAGTTACCTGATTTTGTAAAACTTTCATTTTGTAAGACTTTTGTGTGGTTCTTCTATGTAATAGTGCTAATTATTGCTAGTTCTTTTCTATACTGAAGCCTTTAAAATGTAAAGCTTAGGAAGACACTTTACCAAGATGGTGTCCTCTAAAATAGAATTGATAATCATGCTAATGTTCTCTAAGTTTTAAGTTTGTGTATTCCAAATTGTACTATGATTATTCTCTTTAGCAAAGAGAATTAGACAGGCTCTAAAACTGTGTGCCCAAATCAGTGCCTCCTAATAAGTAAGTAGTTTTAGACACCAATAAGCCTAGAAATAGTTCGTTTTCAAATTAATTTCACCCTTGTTGGTTTATTTTACAAAACTTAGTAACTACCGTCAGTTAACATTCTGCAAAAGTGTCTGCTTTTCATAGTTCTGTTTTTATAAAGCCTTACAATTAATCATTGTTAACATTTCACAGGTGTATACTCACTGACAAAGGAACCTGAACA